CCCCCCGATTTACCTACCAACAGTTGCCAGTTTTGTTCCAGTCTGTGAGCATTTGAAATCCCTGCTCTTCAGCAAAAGGCCCCAGAGACAAGGGATCGCCACAATGGACCGCCCCCTGTACACAGTGTGGGTGAAAGCACGAGAGGGGGCTCGCCGGCATGCGGCAATTGGCTGGCACCGTGTATCAGGGGAGGCACTTATGGGAGATGGTACCAAAGGAACCAAGGGGAACCTGATATGCAGCATGAACATCTTTAAGGTGATATTCACCTGTTTCAGTTCCACAGTCCTTAGGTAAGATGCAGGTACTTCATTATCAAACAAAATCACTATTGGCTTCAGTGAGGGATTAATCAGCTGTTTGACACATTTTGGATCTGTAAGATTTTCTCGAACCCCTGACAGACAGAGTAGCCCAGGATTAAACCACCACATGAATTACTGAATTACAGAAAAGTGTGTTAATTGGCTGAGCCCCTCAGGACTCCTAGGAGAGGATTATTTCCACTCCTTCGCTTTGATGTCAGACAGCGTTTGGAAACAGTCGCTGTCTTTCACCTTGCCCTTGCGCTCTCCAACGCTGAGCCACACACACGTGGATCGCTCCAGTCTCCGCAATTCCTGCATCAGGTGTCCAGCAAAGCATTCCCGTTCTCTCCAGCTTCCCCACAGTAACACCGAGAACAAACCTGACGACTTGTAGGATGGCTTGGCCCAAGCCATACCGGGCCAGAAGCTTCTTGAGTCTTTGAAGCCTATCTGACAGTGGCTGGTGTGACAGGCTACCACTGACTGGTAGACTGCTGGAGAAACGCAGCTGGAGGCGATAGTGCGCTTGGCTGAGCTATGACTGACTTGGCTAACCAGGGCTTCTCCTTGCCACTCTGGGGTGATGTGGGAAGCTTGAGTGAGTGCTGCAGGGTCCCCTACTGCTTGCAAGCACAACCGGGGGCCAAACGGTGATGGAGAGCACCAGCTCTAAACTGTTGTTAAAGCCTTAGCTGCGGAATGACTCTCCATCCACGGGACGGGTACTTTGGCCTTTACTGATGTGGACAGGTGATCTTCTGTCTGCTAAGAGACCCTCCACCAGGTCCACTAAGGATTAGCCTGGCCGGGTCCTGCTGTACAGGAGTCCGATTCACAGCAGAGTGAGACCAAGGAGGACAGTACTTCCTGGGGGACGTAGGCGTCCGCAGCTGGCTGGCTCTGAGAATCTAACATGGTTGACAGCGCTGCGAGAAGGATGAGATGGCAACAGGTCAGCATGTCTGCAGATGTTTTAACATTCAACTCAGAAAGACCTTCTTTACATAATGGCTTTGTTATAATAGCTGTGGGTGGGATGGAAATGTGTTTTGAGGCGTTACCTTTGCTGGCTTTGGAGTGAGAGTAGCCACCACTCTTGCATACAGCGGTCAGGAACTCGTCCATCTGCTTGAGAGACAGAGAGTTGTGCAGCGTTTCCAGCGGATAGATGGAGGGAACCATGGAGCAGCCCTCGAACCCTGTGGCAGAGCGGAGAGACTCAGGGCGAGATCAGAATGACCTAAGAAACCCCCTCCCACCCCCCCCCAACAGGTCCATAAGCAGGGCCAGTAGCTTGCATTGCTGTCATATTCACACACAGGTTACCCATAATCTCAGCAGACATTTCACACCAGGCTTCCCGACACCTTGGGAAACAAAAAGGCTGAGTTTGTGTCACATCCGAGGGCTTCTGGTATGTAAATAAGAACTGGCACTGAGCTCCACAACCAGGGATACAACTAAGATACAACCAGTTGATACAGTTGAGGTATAACCAGGAAGACAGGCAGTCAGTATAGTTGTATTTACGATGCAGTCAAATTGATTTTATGCATTCCTTAAGTATATAGTTGCCCACTTGTATAAATGTCCCAGCCAATGTATGGGCACGAAAGCACTATACAAGCGAGTCATTTGTTTGTCATTCACATCATTCACTCCTCACACATCCTCTCACACACGCTTATCCAGCGTGATTTAAGCTGTCGTGATTTAACACCCCTGTCTTATAGGGAACACAGCCCTGCCAGTGGCCGTTCCCACTGAAGAGCAATGAAGAGACAGCCATTCGATACAAAATCGAAATGCAATCCCGAGAAAAAAGCCCCAGATGTTTTCCAATATTAACCTCGGAGTGGGTGAACTTCTCAAGCTAGAACTCCTCAAACAATGAAGGTCTGGGAAACAAGTTTACACAAAGATTAAACGACACTGGCGTTTCGATGGCGAACGCTGAGGCCTTTCTCCTCTGACGCTGTGAGTTTTATCCCTGACTAAACCATGTACTGCCCTCTCTATACTTTGGTTTCCACTCACAGGTGTTTCCGAACTGATGAACTGACAAGCCCTGCGTCTCCTGGCATTGGCTCCAAGCCTGCCGTAGACCTGCTTTGGATACGCAGAAATGGAAGATGGCGAAACTGACAAAGCCCTTTTCAGGCAGGCATGCAGTAAAGCGAACCACAGAGGGCTTTGAGGGAGTCATGGTTGGTGGTAGGAGCACCACAGAAGGTAGCGGGCCAGCACCCCATCCAGGGCAGCCAGGCGCTGAAAGGGAAAGGGAGAGTGGAGGACAATACGAGGATGTAGGGAAAGACAGGAACAACAGGACAGAAGAGAGGGAGAGGAACGTTACATCAAGGAAAAGCATGGGGGGGGGTGTTAGCATTAGCATAGTGCAGAGGAAAAGTGCTCTGCAGTCTATGCAACCAGCATCAAAACTACCAGCAGGCACACAGCAGTGGGCCAGTATCGGCTCCCACTAACATACTACCAGTAAAGAAAAACAAAATGTCACCTAGCTTCTGGTGTGTAAGACAGGTAAATGCTGAGGACCGAAACCTTCAGGAGGACATCTAACAAGATCCACAGGCCTCACCTGAACAGTCTAGCTGTGACATTTCATTTAAAAGTGCAGCTTTTTTAACTGGGGAAGGCTTACCCAGTGGCTGGGTACCATACAAAGAGCAAAGGCTGGATACCTGGACCTGTGCGGAGGACACACCCACTGATAAACATGGCTGTCAGAGAATCTACCTCCTCTGCCTGCTCCTGCCCACCACTGAGAAGGAAACATTCTGCGTCACTGGTATGGAATACAGTCCGCAAGAAGCACAGAGAGAAACCCGGCCCGTACAACAGAGGCTACAGAGAGAAACCCAGCCCGTACAACATCCACTTACAGAGGCTACACAGAGAAACCCAGCCCGTACAACATCCTCTTACAGAGGCTACAGAGAGAAACCCAGCCCGTTCAACATCCACTTACAGAGGCTACACAGAGAAACCCAGTCCGTACAACATCCTCTTACAGAGGCTACACAGAGAAACCCAGTCCGTACAACATCCACTTACAGAGGCTACCGTAACAGACGACTATAAGGTTATGAATATGGCTTGTTTTTTCCTTTGCTTTTTTGAATGAGTGAAATACCTGTTTGTTATATAGGGTGATTATAACCGTGCCTTGCAAGGCTAAATATCATGGATTATTTAGTTAGCAATTTCCCCCATAAGCTGGCACTAAGTTCACAACAATAAAAGTACCTGACAATAGCGTAACAACATTAGCTATCTCAGGTATTAACAAACGTACAACTCCTTTCTATTTTGCCTCAAAACAGCTGAGAAAGGACATTAACTGCGACAGCGGAGTCGTAGCAGCGTGACCCTCTCTGCAGCAGGCCTCATGCCCAAGACCGTCATGCTACAGTAAACAGACTAAAAATGCAAAGATCCATCATCAGTTAGGGCTGCAGGTCATGTTTCGTTCACAGCTGCACGTAGTCGTCTCTCTTTCCCATTAAGATAATCTGTAGCACTAATAGCTGCATTCTGTTTATCGGCTTGCAGGGAATTTAGCAATTTAGCAAGTACAGGGTTCATTTTCTCTGAGCTATAAACCAGCTATCAGATGTTGTGCTTCACAGATCACACAGAAAGTGGGGCTGGCACACAGAACAAACACACAGTTTTTATTCACATCTTTGTGGGGACCGTCCATTCATTTCTATGGGCAAGACCCTAATCCCAACAATGACAACCTTAACCATAAGTAACCAAACAAAATACAAGACTAAACATTTTTAGTTTTTTGACTGCAGTAACAGATTTTTATAAAACTGGTCAAACAAAAAAAATGGTCCCCATACACAATAATAGGTTTTCATCACATCGCAGGGAATTTGGTCCCCACAATGTAATATATACATGACACCACACACACACACACACACACACACACACACACACACACACACACAGCTGATAAGGACTTCCTTCTGGTACACCCAGCTCTATCAAAATGGTACATATGATGTTGATGGAAACAAAAATCCTCTCTTCACCAAAGCAAAAAACAATCACAAGAAAGATCTGCTGACCAGAGATGCCTGTCATATCCTCCATATCTCACTGAACAAGCAACCACCTAAAAAGTCTAGTTGCTGGTGAAAAGCCAACATCTTGTAGAGAGTTGGAAAAACAGACAATGAACGAATGATGAACGAAAACGACGCAAGCTCTACACATGGAGGCCATTAGCCCTGCGGGGCAGCAGAGCGGGCCTGTGACCAGCAGTCAGTTACCCTCTGAGCACCTGATGGGGCAGCATTTGGAGCCACAGACCCTGACGAGCAGCATGAGAAACCCCAGTAAACTTAGACAGCTTGTTGCCAAGGCAACAGATTTTGAGCTCGCATTCCCTGGCTACCCAGTTCTTTGGAGGCAGCCGTATAAAACAGCCATTAGTTCAGTGCCAAAGTACCACCTTCACTGTACAAGTGTCATCAGAGTGTGTAACGGAAATGTGCCCAGTGCATGGTCACCAGGTTCCCACTTTCTCCATCGCTGTACTGGTGCAGAAATACCAGGGTTGATGGAGTAATGAGACTTTATATCCATACTGAATGGGAGAATCTCCTGCTGTTCATTACCTATTGGTTTCTCATTTGTCTCTTTATTGGGTCACAATAGGTTAAATCTCAGCAAAGACTGGCAGCACACAGAAATCCACTCCATACTGGTCCGTTTGCACTCAGTCTGAAGGGATTGACAGATGACCAGCATATTTTATTATTTATATATATATAGACACACGCACGCACACACACAATATAAAATGTTCAAATTCTAATAAGTGTTCATATTATATACATGTTCAAATATAATTATATATATTTCTCTACATCTACATTTCTCTACATCTAATATATGACCGATGGAGAAGATTCCATTGACTAACACCTTTCCATCACTTGTACCTGCTTGCTCAGGTATGATGGACAAAATTGATTTTGCATCTTCACAGCAATTTAAATAAATAAAAAAAACATATTGCATAACATGCACGCATAATGTGAATAAATGGATTAACCAAAAGTAATTAAAAGGTAATCAACCAACACGCAACAATTCAGTCTCACTGTTTCACTATTAGCAGAGAGTAGCTGAGAGTGCCTATCACCCACTTCCAGCATTTCCATTTTAATTAAGAAATATTTATCAAAACACACTTAACGGAAATGCAACGTCTCCATGGGAACGACAATTTCTGTCTCGAGAAGTAACGCAAATGGAATTAAGCGGAAGCAGCTGTTAGTGACCATCAGGAGAGGTTCTGAACAAGACTCCCAGACTTATGAAGGAAACACACACACACACACACACACACACACACACACACACAATTTGGTCTTCCTATCTAAATGGGGACTGTCCATTCATTTCTATGGGAAAAACCCTAATCCCAATCACGACACCCTTAACCTCTACCCATCCCTAACCTTAATCATAAGTAACCAACCCAAACACAAGACATTTTTACTTTTTTGATTGCATTCACAGATTTTTAAAAAACTGAGGTTATTTCAGGTTTGACTACACTTTGGGGACAATTTGGTCCTCAAATGTGATCTATGCAAACACACACACACACACACACACACACACACACACACACATACACAAAGTCAATTAACAAGGTGTGAGGTCTGCTTTATAAAGTCAGTGAGCAGACAGACAGGTAGAGATGTTAGGGTGAGATGTGGAGATGGATATCCAGAGCCATCCTAACAAAGACATGTGTGTGTTTCCCAGGGACATGCAGGGAAAAATGGGAACACGCATGTGAAAGAGGCAGACATCAGCAGCAGGGTGCTTTGCATATGCCTCTGATAACCACTGCGATAGGAGGAAGGAAAAGTAAATAAATAAATAAATAAAGGTCATTACTGCTGCCATCTCGGCCACCATGCGGCTGTCTGGAGGGGCTGTGGAGAGGTGTACACACAGGGGGTATGAGTCCAATTCACAGAATTGAGCAGGAAGCCAATAAGAATAGAAGGAACCAGGTTAGAAGGACTTAAAAGTAAGCAGCCCACAGTGACAGTTCAAATAGCAGTTGTCTTGTCAGTACTCGAACCAATAACACAGATAAGCGGATCTCTGTCCTCTGACTTACTGTAACTTCATCAGAACTAGTAGCTCAACAGAAAAATCCTTATGAGAACACAATGGACTGACATCATTGGGCCAGAATGAGCTGATTCCGCAGAAGCAGCAGCAGAGTGACAGCCCTGCTCCCTTCCCAACCCAGACATGGGCACTCAAGCCCAAAGCCCCCCCAGCATGGGGGGGGGGGGCCCGAGGTACACAGCCTAACTAAAACTCAGTTCCTAAGTCACTTGTTTCTTTGGAGAAAAAGACTTTAAAATACAAAACAAATGCAAGAAAAGCAAAAGTTCTGCAAAGGACTCCTGGGTCCTTTATCCCAAACACTGTCAGAAAAAAAAGCAAGTGAAAACATAAAAAAGAATAACAAAAAAAATTACCTGAACCCTCAGTCACAGGAGTATCTACAAAATACAGGCAGCCTCATGCAGGTCGATAAAGACACAGAGGCAGTCTCACGCAGGTCGATAAAGACACAGAGGCAGCCTCATGGAGGTTCATATATACACAAAGGCAGCCTCATGGAGGTTCATATATACACAAAGGCAGCCTCATGGAGGTTGATAAATGCACAGAGGCATCCTCATGGAGGTTCCTAAATACACAGGAACATACATTCCAGGATATTCAGCCACGGGAAAAAGCCTGTATCCCTAATACTACAGCAATACCCCGTGGACAACGGAGCAGTGAATTCTGAAAGGGTGGAAAGTCATTTCTCCCTAATGCTCCCATTTGGTCTCTACAGAATAAAGTCACACATGTTATCATCTGGGCCACCGATGTCAGTATCAGTTGCCTGTTCTAGCAGCAGTTAAGCTCTTTCTCTCCCATGCCAGTCCCAGCCTCTTCCTTTACAGTGCGAGGTAACGTGTAAGCTTTCACACGCTGCTTTCTACATACTGCTACAAAAAGCAAGTTATAACCTCAGCAGATGTTCATTTTAGCTTTCCAAGGTTAAGCACGCTGTAAATAAACACATCCAGTAAATGGTTAGCAAAATGGTTAGACAAAACGGGTATTTAGGGCCCCCTAGTGGCTATATCCATAAGTGTAGCTAATGAAATCGTGTAAAGGGGAAAGATGACTCCATAGAAAACATTTGTAGCCAGGTTACCTTAATAAAACACAGCTGGTTTCACTGTAGCTCAATTTTAAAACAATTAGTTAACAACTGTGGAATGCCAAAAAATTATGAGTTATTAAAAGTAAAAGCTATGACAGGTTTTTGTTTATATCAGAGCTTAATATATAAAAAATGAGGTAACAATCTTTTAATACTTTTAGAGTGTTTCAGATCTACACTACCAAACAGGGGTCATCTTCGGCCATCCAGGGGAGATCTGTTGCCCTTGTAGTTTCCTCTGTTCACCTCAGTGAGACACAGGTGACCATATAGTGCAGTGAGTGTTACAGGTGAGTTTTTGAGGGACTGCTTTGAGGGAGGAGCTTTCTGACGCTCACACCACCGCATCATTCCCATGGCACGTAATTACACTGGCAATTCACAGCTGCTACGGAACATGTCGCCAAGACGACAGTCTCTTCATTTCCACAGCAACGGGATTCAGAGATCAAGGACACCTACCGTCCTCGTGGCCCTGGTTGCCAGAGAAGAGTTTTTTGCAGTGTGTGCAAGCGTAGTCTCGCAGGTCAGGGGCACTGGAGGAGCCCCCCAGGACGGTGGTGCTAAAGATTCCAGTGCACTGGGGGCCTGTGCAGAAGAACCACGGGGTTGGGGGGGAGGGCAGGGAAGGTGTTAGTTACCACAACAGATCATGCAGTTATTCAGAAAACGTTGCAGGTTTCTGAGCCGCAATGCATCCAGTCGTGCCCATCCAGGTGGAGCCACAGCAGTCCTCTGGGCCCTGACTGCAGTGCCACAAAGTTGCACAATCAAACAAGAGATAACTTGCAAAAACTGCAGAAACAGTGCATGCACATGCCATGGAGTAAAACGTGCTAGAACACCCTGTAGCACATGACTTTAGCCTTGAGCGCATCTTCACATACTGCTGACACAGGGCATTTGTCCTGGTGGGGGGGCTGTGACAGCTAAATTTAATAACATCCCTATAGTACAGCCCACCCAAAGGCCGACCACAAGCTTATAAATACACTGCTCCCCCAACGTCATGCCTGCTTGCCCTCTGCGAACAAAACACTTTCCTTGGCACACGCTAGCATTTTTATATAAATTTTAGCAACTCGTTAAGATGATGTGAATTATAAATATCACGCTTGTGTTAGCAGGCTGCTACGCAATGTCAAGCTGTTCGGATGCCTTTGCTTGGATCTATTTCCGTTACAGCCCCGACATAACTCCACGGCAGCTGGATGGAATGCTGGACAGGGTGGTGTCACCAAGGGGGGGGGGCAGGCCTCCATCTGACCTTCCACCCGCGACACCGGGAGCTGATTTTTTTTCATAGGTCGCAGGGCCCTCGGAAGCCGACTTCCTGTGACCTTGGACAGGATCATTAACTTAGAGGAGTGTGACACCGGGAGCAGGAAAGGTGACACCGACCTAATCCACTCTGCTTTATCTCCGGGGGGTGCTGGGGGCAGGAGGGGAAGAACCTGAAGCTGCTAGCCTTGGAGGAGGCATCCGAAAGCACCTAGGGAAACGTGGGCATGGTCAGCGCAGGAGAACTTTACATGCCGGACACCAACGCACAATGGAGTTAGAGAAATCTTTGAAGTATGAAATGCTTTTAAATAAATCCACTTCATAACTGACAAAAGAAATTGAGTTTGGAAGACTGAAGTAAAGTCATAAGCACAGTTATGGTCACACCTTGGCTATAATTGGAGTTTCATTTCACTTAACGATCTGGTCACTGGAACGGAACTCAGTCGCTAAGAGAGGAGTGGCTGTAGCTACATTATGATGATTCTATGACTTAATCATGGACGGACCGTAGACGGGGTCATGAGGTACCCCAGCCTGCCCCGGCCACGCCCCAGTACCTCCACAGAGCCGGCCTTGCGGTTGCGAATGAGCGGCGAGCGTCTCCGGACAGCGGCCGGTTCGGAGAGCAGCATGGCACGATCCGGCTCATCGCGCGACAGGTCCTCCAGGCTGCCGGGGTCAGTCTTCTGGAGCAGGAGGAAGAGAGCGGCAGGCCTGGGTCAGCCACCCTTCACCAGCCACATCCCGATTTCCGAGACCCAAAGCCACACCCACCTCAGCAGAGGCAGGGCGGAAACCGAAGCCCATTGGGGCATTCTCTTCATCCTCGCAGCCCTTAACTCCGGGACTGAAGTGTAGCTCCACATGAAAGCGTTCCTCAGAGAAGGGGTCCTACAAGAAGAACATTCCTTAGTAGCAACACAAAGCTGCTCCACAGGAGTATGGGAATATACCTTGTTGTTGTCTTCATATAGCATAATGACGATCTGGGTCATGTAGTTCAGTTCTGAAACCGCACTCAGGTAATCCATGGCCCTCTTCCACTGTTGGTCCTTCTCCTCCTGCTCAAGACACAAGCAAAGTCCGAACAGAGGTAAAACACACCTTGTAATGGCACCATCTAGTGGACAAATTTAGTGATGATTTAGTGGTGTGAGCCTCTAGCACTTAACTTTTTTTTATTAACTTAGAACATAAAATTAGCACCAACATTGAAGTGTTGGGGAGGAGCGTGTGGCTCAGTAGATTAGGATGCTGTGATTAGAAGGTTGCCGGTTGAAATCCCTGGGTCCGCAGAGTGGTTCTGCTTTTGGTCAGTACCTTAACTTCCAATAGCTCCAGGGACTGTGACCCCTGGTTTCTCAAAAAAAAATGTATGCTGCTTCGGATAAAAGCTTCTACCAAATACAGTTTGACACCCCGGAGCTTACGTCAAGCAGGCCTCCGTAGCGGAAGATGCTGAGGAGGGAATGGACGTGACTCTCGCTGGTGAAGTACAGCCTCGTGCGAACGTGCCGTCCCGGCGACATCACCCCACGGGAATACCTGCCCCAAAACAAAACAGAGCCATGTAGTGCAGGTGTATCTGCAGAGCGAAGGGCTAAATGCCCCCCAAAGTCATGCTGACAGTGCACATCACTAACACAGTAACAGCGAGGAGACGCTCTTCACGGTGTAGGGCGCGGACTCACAGCGGGTGCAGCTTGTTGACCGACTCATCCTCGTGAGTCCTCTGCAGGTCCAGCTGGATCTTCTTCACCAGCGGGAGGCAGTAGGCATAGGCGATGTCCAGCTTTTCGTCTTTGTGAATGCCGTATTCCTGGTGTGACGAGTGACGAGCGATGAGTGAGGCCATCGAGTGTGAGCCAAGGAAGCGGGGGCAGGGTGAGAACAGGGGGGCCCAAACACAGGGATTCACCTGAGGGATGATTATATCAGCCAGGGCCCGGGACAAACAGAACAGCTCCTGCATGTCCTCCAAGCCCAGTGAGCTGTTGTGCTGCACGTCGTACTTCACGCAGTCGTAGATGTCCGGGATCTTGCTGATCTCATAGCGGCCGCTTTTCGTCCGGAAGTCCCGCTCCAGCTTGGACCAGCGCTGAAGCATCAGTTCCAGGGTCTCACTGTGGTACAGCTGCAGGTCTGTAGGGGGCGTGTCTGAGTCAGCTGGGTCTGACTGAGTATTTAGAATTTGCCAGAAAAGCCACAGGGATGGAGGAGATTCTGAGGGGACACCAAATTCAGGACAGCAGAAACCATCCATGTGTGCGTGTGTGAGTGTCGGCAACGTCGAGGGACAGACCTGCAGATTTGGGGTCCTCCAGTCTTCTGCGGATCTGGGAGGTCAGGCTCTGGATAAGGGCGTAGACCTTGTCGCAAGTCTTCACGGGGTTCCCCACCACCTTCATGGAGTTAACCAAGGAAGGACTGCTGGTCGGGGCAAGCTGTACACAGAGCCACAGCGAGACACACATCAAGCATCACATACAGGTCATTCTTACCAACTGAACAACAGAGGTGTTTATTGGCTGGGTAAAAATACACAGGTCATAACCGGATGCTTACACAAAAAGCAATGACAGGCCAGATGAGCAGAAGTACTAACAATGCACAGGCAATGATCGTTCTTTTCATAAAATCATGCATCAGCTCACAAATAATTAAAGGGAGGTTTTTTACAAAAAAAAATACCTCCAGAGCAATTAAATTATTAGGGTCTGTAATTCACCTTCCAAACCACCAGAGGCAATTTGGGAATTAGGAGCATCGATACAGCTTTTATATCACCAGTTTTACAATTTGTCTCCAAACAGAGGTAAGTGCTTCAGAACGGCCACTCTGGGCCAGCTTTGGACCTGCCGATGGAGCAGGTCGGGTTACCCAGTTGAAGTCGTCCTCGCTGAAGTCCTTGTCCTGCTGCATGATCTCGTGCAGACGGGCCTTCACGCGGCGCTGGCAGCCGGTGAGGGAGTCGCTGTCGCTGTCCAGGAGCCCGTTCATGTTGGCGCTCTTCACCATCTGCACCAGGATGGGCGTCAGCTCCCCCTCCAGGGCCAGTAGGCCCTGTCACCCACAGACAGCATGTAACCATACACACGTACGCATCAGTATAAGCACACACAGGCTATGTGGAAATACACAACCAGGACACCCACAAGCTAAAAGACATTTTGTGTGTCTGCTTATGAGTTATTTACGCTAAGAAAGTCAATAACAACTCAGGACAGGGCGCCAACCCTTCTCAGGGTGAGCACACGCGCAAACGCATGCACACACAGGTCTGTAATTATATTTTTGTGGGTACTCTCCATTAATTTCTATGGCTCGCTGTCACAGATTTTAATAAAACTGACTTTGCTCAAAGTAACAGGTGTTTTTTTATATCATATTATGGGGACATTTGGTTCCCACAATGCAATATATAAATGACTCACACATACACACCATTTGCACACACATTCACATCTATGGACAATTTGTCAACTCCAATTAACCTCAGCATGTTTTTGGACATTGTGGGGAAACTGTGTGAGGTAACAGTTCTAATCACTGTGCCACCATGCCGCCCTAAAAAGAGGTTCATCTAAACTAATTTAATCTATGTACCGCTGCATTATGGGTTAGCCTTGAGCACCATGGGCCTGTTCTGACCTTGGCGAAGGCGGCAGCGGTCATCTGAACCCTTCCCTCATCGGAGGCGTAGATCTTGAGGTCGTGTCGGTAGGTGCTGTGCAGGCGGAGGAGACCACAGCCAGGAAAGCCGGCGTAGTCCCCTAGAGGAGACCGGACAGCGTCAGGTGGACCAGAACCGGAGACGCGGGCCAAGCACCCTCTAAGCCAATCTCACAGCAGCACCAGCGCGGCAGGGTTACACATTGCGAGGTGATCTGAGCACCAGGAGAGACACGGTTTGTTGGATGGAGAAGCACCAGCAGGAGTCCTCAGTGACTCCACCCTGTAAATGAAACCTCATAACACCGATGACCCCTTAGAAGGACGTAAAGCACGTAAAAGGGAAGATTCAAATTTGTAGGTCATTGACAGTACAAAAAAAAAAATCACCCATATAGAATATTTTCAGAAACACAATTCATTCAAGTATGGACCACTTCAGGAGTTCAATGTAAATTTCGAAGAGAAGTTTCTAGATCTCCTATGTTCAACAGAACAGGCTGCAACCCCATAACTGAAAACTTTTGGGTACTAAATCTCACCCCCCCCACCACCCTCAAGCCCCCATCCCAGTTTCTTGTCCAGAAGGACTGGGACGGCACTGATCACAGGTTTGTTAAACTGGGACCAGCAGATTGAGCAGTGAGCTGTGCAGAGGTTCACCTAGCAGCCCCAGACCACGGGTTCCTGCGATCCGAGCAGATCCCAGCAGCCAGCCAAGGGTCTGATCTAAATGCAGTAAAAGTTAACTCCTTAATCCTGTGTCCCAAATAACACCTAACAAAAAACTATAATGATGAAGAAACAGCGGAAAACAACATTCAAATGATCATAATGCTACAACATAAAAGTTCCTGAAAGGGGTCATGGACCTTTTCCAAAAGGTTAAAGGCGTCATTTTGGGGGAAAGGGTCTTCTTCATGATAGAACTGAGCAAACATTAGTATTACATCAATAGGATTAATCCGCCACAGCAGAATTCAAATGAAAGGCATGCATCCCCACTCCTAATTTTAGAACATTCTGTCATAGTTCACAGCCTTGCCATTCAAACCAACCTCTGCAGTAGGGCTGGGCGATATAATACATATATCAACTTATCGTCATATATAATTTAATCGGTAAGAAAATGAGAAAAAAAAAACTTTGACCAATTGTCAATAAGGAACATTGCTTCATAGCACATATCACATCACTGGGTCGAACGCAATTCCAACCAATCATATGGTAGTCATTTAAGAATGACAACCTACTTATCTTTTAATAAAGGAGATATTGTGGACAAACAAGGTAAAAAGACTGGTGCTGTGGCTACACTTTTCGCAGTGTAAAGTCCGACACGCAGCAGACTGGTGCTGTGTACTGTACACACTGCCAAAAACGACTGCCAACTAAGACCTGAAGCATTGCCACGCAGCAGAACGTACAGAATATAAGCACCAACAGTAAGAGACACCAGCAATTTGGATTTCCACTTTCAATCTGAAGATATATGGAACAAATCACAACCCGTACTAGTTCAAAAAACACAAGACACAGCGTTTTACTTTTTACTATGGGACGGGTGGCAGCTGTCCTAGTAACGTCAAACCCGAGCCCTGGAACGAGCAGAGGGGCAGTCTGGGAAAAAAAAACAGCAACAAACCTCTGCCTGCATTTTTCTAATGTTATGGCCTACAACAATTTTTTATTTTTTTTTTATTTAGTTTATTGTACGATGTATTTATTAAAATTAGATTTCAGTTTGCAGTTCAATTTCAATTTGCTGCCTTTTTTCCATGTTCTGAATCAGTTTAAGAGGAATACCAAGGAGCCAAAGAAAAGACTCAAATGATATTGTGATAATGATCAATATCGACTGATGTGAGAAAAAAAAATGATTGTGATTGAATATTCTGCCATTCCGCCCAGCCCTACTCTGGAGTGACAAAAGAAGCTGCCCACATTCTGCCTGTGCCGCTGATACGTCACCTGCCCGGAAGCCCAGGGGCCTCCATGGGACTCGGGCCGCCACCTCCTGCACTGAAAATCGTATCATCGGTCAGTCAATGGCTGTTACTGCCATCGTTTTCGCCACGACCCACCTCTCACCCAGAAACACTCCCTGATTTCCAGCTCTCCGTGACGAGGACTGGTGAAACTAACTGGGATTCTGCATCAGCAGTTACCAGCAGCTAACCCTGCAACAAGAAATGGCGCTAGCTAATCCTAACCGTGGAACTTCCTGACCACCAACAGATACCGGTCGCATTTTCTTTTAATCAATCGCGGTTTTTGTTGGAGTTTCCGACCATCTTGTTCTGAATGACGGTATCTGGAGTGTCTTTTTGGTTTTGTGTGCATTTAATGATGATGAATGTGGCTGAGGACACTCAGAATTGGGGAGGTATTAAATATGTTAGGGCCAACGCAAGGAATGAGATTAGTGCAGCAAGCAGGTGGGGGGGGGTCCATAATCCTTCTTACCACAGCCAATAGGGGACTCACAACCCAGGGACCTGCGACTACCATCTGGTTAACGAAATGCAGAAGAGAATTAACAGAACACTTGCAATTGGGACGTACAGTTTAAACAGTCCATTTAGCTGAAAACAGGATAAGCATAGGTGTCTGGTCACGAGTGCTTTGGCAGGCCTGAGCCTCGTCAGGCAGCTGGCAAGTAAAGCAGCTATTTAAAATTACACACGGAGAACATATACATTTTAAGTCCCTTTAAAAGGACCAAAGTGCGTAGCCTTGTTTAGCATATTAACAAAATATGACACAAATTTGCACTTTCCACTGAAGAAATAATTGGTTCACCATTGCAAGTGTAATGGTAAATTAGTTGATATTCCTACATTACTCATGCAAATAGGAGAAAAATTAACACATAAATTTAAGGTGATCCTGAATGCAGTGAGTCCTCCAAGCCACAAGAGGAGCAGTGACGCCACAGATAGACAGTGGAAATGGAAAAGGACAAGGAAGGAGCAGCACATGTCATTCAGAAAATAGACCTTGGCACGGCTGCTGCTGTACTTATGGTTTATTTACTATAGCTGTTAGTAGCCAAGGCAGTTGGGCGCCTTCTCCGGCTGCCCGGCGCGTGATTGAAGTCTGAAGCTCCTCTCTGGAGGACGTCCCTTATTGGCTCGATGCCACACCGAGACGAATGTCCTGTTTACGGGCTCAACATCTATTTATATGGGAGTGGAAAATGGAAAGTCATTTTTAGAAAGCAATCTGTAAGTAGATCGATTGGTTCCTTCTGACAAGCTGAAATGAAAGTGGCACAGTGGGTTAGCCTGTTACCTCCCGGGATTTGCCACAGCCCTGACAGATTGATGGGGTAACAATAATGAATGGGTGCTATAATATTATTAATTATTAAATAATAATAATAATAATAATGATAATAATAATAATAATAATAATCTTAGTACATATAGCTTTCACAAATGAGTAATCCTGCAGTTTTACACTGGAACAGGGTGAATACCAAGAACAGAAATTACAGACGCTCTTCTACTTACGAATGAGATACGAACATTTAAAATCACGAACGCAAGTCGTTATTCAACATCATTTTAAGGGTATACGCAAGTACAAAGAAGTAGTATGCTGGGAGTATGCACGCTATGCTGCTGCGCGGTGGGAGTAGCGGCCTTAAGTCGTACTTACAGTCCTCTTTGTTCGTATGTCTGAAAGTTCGTAAGTTGAAAGTTTGTAAGTAGAGGAGTGTCTGTATAATAAATATCAGGACAGTGTGAATGACAGAAATGGAGAGAGACCATTTTGCACCAGGACAGGGAGAATATCAGAATTAAAGACAAACGCAGAGGATGAGAGCACGAATGCAGTGGCGTTAAGAGGAGGATGAGGGTGGCGGATGGACTGCACTGGGAGAGCAGGTGCTGCTGCATGTCCAGCATGCTACCTTGTCCTCCAGGGTACATGCAGCGGAAAGCCCTGCCCAGCTCCTCCGCCTGCACCCGGCCCGCTGGGGTCAGCTCACCGCCCCACTTCAGCACCAGCAGCAGAGAGGGGTCCTCTTTTCGGCAGTCTGGAGGGAGGCAGACACACATAAGGCCAAACTTCTGTCTGAGTGGGAGCCAGCTCAGCCTCTACCCCCCCCCCTCATACAAACTTACAGAACTCAGACTTTGTAACTCATACTATTTGTTACTACCTCATTTCCTAGAGTCTGTTGTGTACAAAATACATATATTTGTACTGTTTTCTGCCTCCTCCTTATTCTACCTCGCTTTTTACTCATTGATATTAGTCGTCATGGTGTAGGTTTGGCACAGGTTACCGTTCTGGAATTAAATCTGTACTCAGAGATATTCATGTTTTACCTTCCTCCTCACTGGAGGTTTTCGGTTGCCCATGTGGCAGGTAGGTGAGCTGCACTTTCCGGTTGATTCCTGAGAAATGGCCGTACCTGGAAAGAGGATGGAATGTTCGCAACTCAATATGTTCTTACCTTAACATTTCAAATTCATTTGTCATTTATCTGCACCCAAAGCGACTGCAAAACCAGCTTACACTGCCAAGCGACTGGGGAATGCCCATAAAAATGCTTGTTTCAGTTTCAATGTCTATTACAAAGCAACTGAACTGAAACTGCATATCTTTCTCCACATCTCACCATATTCCCCACCTTAAAATGCCAAGTCTCGCCATTCCCCACCTTAAATGCCACGTCTCGCCACTCCCCACCTTAAATGCCACGTCTCGCCATATTCCCCACCTTAAATGCCACATCTCGCCATATTCCCCACCTTAAATGCCACGTCTCGCCATATTCCCCACCTTAAATGCCACATCTCGCCACTCTCCACCTTAAATGCCACGTCTCGCCGTATTCCCCACCTTAAATGCCACATCTCGCCACTCTCCACCTTAAATGCCACGTCTCGCCATATTCCCCACCTTAAATGCCACATCTCGCCATATTCCCCACCTTAAATGCCACATCTCGCCATATTCCCCACCTTAAATGCCACATCTCACCACTCCCCACCTTAAATGCCACATCTCGCCACTCCCCATCTGAGTCGCCCCCTGGCTCTTGCAGGCATTAAGTCATGTTGCTGTCCCAGAGAGCAGGTGTCACTGTGACCTTTCTGAACACCATCCCAGACTGCCTCACGTGCCACATGAACCCAAACCTAATTATCCGCCAGTAGTACTCGTGAAAGATAACACCAATGTGTCCCATCGCGGTATCACCTGCTTAAAGCACAGCATTCTGTTTTTACCATATATGGGCTGGGCATTCTTTTTGCAGTCAAAAACACCTGTGCACTCCCGGTACATGTGACCACATCGTGACATGTCCCATGTGGATGCGGGCAGAAAACGCACAGTCAGGACAGCCGCATGACCAAGGTGAGAGACAGGGATGGACAGCACTCCCAAACAGGCAGGTCTCTGGGGAGATCCAGGCTTGAAAGTAGAGGTCTGCAGTTACAATGTCAGTAGGGGTGCAGTCGCAACTGGACGTTAATTTGGTTGCGCTTGTTAGAGAACCAATAATAAGGAAGAGAAAACCTTTTACTCCTGTCAAAGACAACAGGCGTAAGAAGGGCGCACTGGTAGTCATTCACACTGGATTCCCTTCAGAGAGAGAGCAGGAGAGAGGGAGAGAGAGAGAGGGAGATGTACAACAGTCAGACAGTGGCTGGGAGGCAGAGACGCCTCAGGCGATCAGAGATATTCATCCAGAGACAGGGTCACCATCTTGTCACCGAAGGCTACTGAAGGATAGTCCCTCAGACTACTGTCGTTTAAGTACATTAAGACATTTGAGAAGGGGACAGGCTAGTGAAACTAGTACTAACAGATCGAGCTGTGGAAGCAGACACAGACTTTAAGCCCAAAGCGTCAGGGAACAGGAAGAGGACAAAAATCTTGAAAATCTGATCTTGCCTGTAGGGAACATTGAATGAAGACAAAAGAATATGGTGGATGTTCAAAAACAGGTCTGGGAGGAAGTCCAACCGAAGAAAAAGAGCAACAGAGCGAAGGAGAGAGCTTATGCATTGTGTAAGCATAATTCATTAACACATACTGTACACTAATTCTAAGTCTGAAGAGGATAAGCACTGCTTTATCACAGCTCAGTGCTGCCAACAATACAAAGTTGTGTGTTGTGTACGCTCAACACCACCTAACAGTTACTCACATCTCCAGAACCGTCCTCAGCTGCTCAAGTTTTGACTTCTTCTCCTCAATCTCACAGTCGTTGTGTTGGCCCAGGTCTGCCAGCAGCTGCCGGGCTATGTCCAACAGCTCCTGATGGGGCGTTCCACAGGAACGGAGAGATTATAGCACTGCTGTGTTTGTAAAGCTCTCCCCGTCTGAATGAGCCGCCCTGGGGGCGCCAGTGACGAGACAGGGTCACCTGCAGCTGTTTCGGCTTTTTCAGCTTCAGCTTGCCCGTTTTGTAACCTCCATATTTCTCGAACAAATCAAAGAACCTGAGGAAACAAACAGAGGAGAGCAAACAGAAGACTGATTGATTGATTGATCGATTACTAAGGGCTATACTAAAGAGATCTTGCAAATATAAAGTGGATGCATGAATTGAGGTGTCAGGATGGCAGTGCATCGCAGGGCACACACTCACACTATGGCCAACTGAGAAGGAGCAATTCACCAAAACGAATGTATTTGGGCTGCTGGAGTAAATCGGAGTTCCCTGAGGAAACTCGTGTAAACAGAAGAACTCCAGCACATTCAGTCAAAATGCTGTTTTAAGTAAAAAAAGAGCTTCTTTAATTAAGAAAGCTTAAGATGACTGCTGGTGATTCCCTCCAAGGCCGCCTGAATACTCAGGACACACCAAACTCACATTGGGTTCCTCACTTCCATCTTCATCTTCTGCTTTGGCGTCCGGTCGCCGTGTCGTATTACCGCGATCACACAGCGCAACTCCATCCTGTGGCAGGGAACAGATCAGCATTCGAAGACCTGGGCAGCATCTCTGCACAGTGCAAAAGGCTAAAAGACTAGACACTGTGTTTGGGAGGACTTGTATCATGTGACAAAGTGAGCATTTGGTGAACTATGAATACAACTGAAGTGTGGATGGGAAATTTCCTTTTCCCTTGGAGTAAGCCATGAAAATCTCTTGAAGACTAAGTACAGACTTCACCATTGTTAAGCTTTGGCTCAAAAAAAAAATTAGTTGACAGTTCCTCACACATGAAGGTCCCTTTGCTTGCCATGCTAAGCAGAGTATTAAAGCGCTATTAGGGGACCGTTACATGGCCTGCAACTGACAATGGATACGGATCATTTTCGGAATGCTGGGGGGATGTGCCGCATGACCCACATGGTTCCAGAGGTGGTGGGAACGATGGGAATGTCTTCAGCTTCAGTCGGGATGGACCAAGGGATGTGAAACTGTGGAGCCAGCTCCCGCATCACGATGTTCCTGAAATGACCCAAGGGCGTGACTGTCTGCCCCATGCGGGTCTCGTGCACGGATAAACCGGACCGCGTGCCTGCCCGCTTCACATACCCTAGGATTTTGGCACAGTCGTCATAGTACTTCATGGAGTTCTTCACGAAGCTGAAGCCATTGACATCACAGACAAAGGAGTGGCCATTTGCACGAAGCAGATCGAACCCACACACGGTTTGCTGGAGAGTAGAAGGGTCAGTCATAGCCCACATAGCCATAAAACCAGCTACAAACAACATATGGAAGATAAACGGTGCTACACGCTAAAGGGACATAAGAGTCACGGCTGACGGCAAGACTCACCTTGAATGCCAGACAGACCTTGCGAGCCACCAACTTCTCCATGGCGGTCAGCATCACGGGGTAGCGGACCTCTTTGCCTTCGCTGTCGCGCTCTACCTTGCCATCCAGGGCAGGTGACTTCCGTGCCTCAGCGTGGGCATAGTCAGGGCTCACTGTGTACACCTATACCCGAGAGCACATCCAAAATGTGTCACAATATGCACAGAACATGACCAGCATAGCATCCAGGCAAAGGGGCGTGCTCGCCCGAGGAACATGACCAGCATAGCATCAAGGCAAAGGGGCGTGCTCGCCCGAGGAACATGACCAGCATAGCATCAAGGCAAAGGGGCGTGCTCGCCCAAGGAACATGACCAGCATAGCATCAAGGCAAAGCGGCAAGCTAGTACCTTGACATCTGTGCCATCGGTGGGCATGAACTCTTCGTAGATGTAAGATCCTGTCTTGCGGACGCTGCTCTCGGGCGAGTACACACTGCTGCGGCTGCCAATCTGTAGGGGAGTGCCAGGACTCTGTCAAACCGCAGTTCTTCACCAGGCCTGCTTTTAGAGTAAGGCTTGTCATGTAATGTAAGTAGTTGGACTGAAGCAGACTTGGAGTTTACCCTCAGAGCTCTTTACAGTTGCAAATGGTTTAGCTAATCTCTAGATAACTGTGTAAATATATGGAGAAACTTTTTAAATCCATAATTAAGCCCTTTTCAAGTGAAGAGAAGAACCTACAGTCTTTTCGCATGCTTGGAAAACAGCTGCTTGCGTCGCCATAGTGACTATGTTGTCCTGATTAGCGAGCTAGCACATCGCTACCATCGGTACTCTAAAGACACGTTTTTCTCAAAGTGACTGCTACTCGAAGGGGAGATTAAATATAACACCAGACCTCTTCCCTGCCTTGAGGCCATCTTAAGGGACTCTCCATTTCCGCAACCGCAGTATAGCTGTCACAGAAATCACCATGACACATTTCCTCATGGGACGGAGACAGTACAGAAAGGAGAGAGAGGGAGAGAGAGAGAGAACCTTCCGGAAGAGGCGCTGGCTACCCCCGCCAGCAGAGGTAGGGTAGTAGATGTACACATTGTGGTCTTCAGCACAGACGGGCTTTTCCACAAAGGGTTTCTGGAAGACCTCTCCGTTGACCTCCACGTGGTCCTCACCCTCCACCAGGTTGCACTCTGAGAAGACACAGTCTCTCAGTTAAACGCCAAATTAAACAAGACTCCGGGACTTGGACGCCTCAAACAGTCTGCTGGCACACGCTCAGAGGACAGAGGGACACCAGACTCGGCTCTGCTCTTCATTATTTAGTATGTTTGCCGTCACACAGAGCACATAAACCTGGATACTCTTACAGAAGCAGAAGAAACTCATCTGGGACCTGAGCCCAATTTGCTGCACACATTTTCTGTCACAGAATGAAACCCTCACTAGGACTACTGACTGACGAGGGCCTGGCCCCCACACCACCCACCCTCTGGTCTGTCGGGGTCCCGGTTCAGCACAGCGTAACGAGGCAAGTCGATGCCCTCCTCCCTCAAGATCCGATACACCTCCCTCCTGAAAAACACACATTATGGCAATTCGCCTCTTAGAAGAGGACGGGCAGACTGGTGAAGCTAGGATCAAAACAGTAACATTTTTCCTCAGTTTGTACAAGATACAGTTAATTAAAAAAAAAAAAAATGAATTACAATGTGTAAATAAAATCTGCACTTTCCAATAATAAGCCAAAATTCAAAACAGAAGTTAAGCGCATGTTACAAACAAAGACTGAAGTAAGAAGGTATGTCAGCGATTCCTAATGTACTCCTTTTTTATAGAATATTCTGGACCAGAGCACCACTAGATTACAATGCAGGTGTGACTCACCTGTCTTGTATGAAATACTGCATGTTCAAGTCATTGATAAGAAGTGGATTTCTCAGCTTGGCGTAACTCACTGCCTTGTCTAGAGGAAACCCTGAAATCACACAAAAACAAGTGCAAATGTACATCTTACAACAAGCGCAGTGAAATTAAAACACTGGCTTTTTCCACAAATCCAAACGCATAAAAGTCAGGAGGTTCCCCAAGTGTTAGCACACTGCAGATGAAACGTGGATAAAAACTGGAGCGCCAGGCACCGCTGACCCCACGGTCATATGGCACGACCTTGAGGAGCTACCTTTGGAGTGGAAGGAGATGAGACAGTCGCAGAGGGGCCACTGCTCCACCGGCTCGCTCAGGATCACCTCCTCGGGGAAGATGACCACCGTGATGTACTCGAACTTGCAGAGTCGCTCCAGGATCTGGGTCATGGGCTTGGATTTGGACTTCTTCATCATGGAGCAGATCCCCACCACGATTTGCCTCTCGGGAGGCTGGGGGGACACCGAGCGCAAGGCGTATCCTTTGAAACCGCTCATTCCGCCACCAGCGCTAGGCTGCTCCGCTGAAGCCGGTCCCCCTGACTAACGCACGGATTCCAATCTGCTGCAGAGCCTCGCTCGGATATAAAAGCGAACGTGGCCTTGTTAATATCTCCAGTTATTTTTAGAACTAAGAACATTTCAGCCAAAGCTCCTTTTAGTCGTCTACGCTAAATGACATTTTTCCCACCCCCCCCTTCAATTTTTACTTCCGTTTCGCATGCAGCGGGTTCAGACGAACGGCATAACGCAAAAGAGCGGCCGGCCTGGCCAGACGCCCCCTTCCCGCCAGCGGCGTGCTCACAGAGTCTCCCTCATCGTTGTCCTCTGGCAGCTCCGCGTCAGTCCTCATTCCGCTGTCCCCCGGGCCCGTGTGCTCATCCTCCTCAGAGCCAATGAAGAAGGTGGGAGTGGCACGCCGGCTCCCAGGACGGTGGGGCGCGGGCATCACAGCCCTCCGTGTGGACCCTTGCTGTCCGGCTGTGCCATTGCGTGCCAGAACACCACCGATGCGGCACCGGGGTGACTAGGGGCACTGAAAGCTCCCTATGAACACTAGAAGTAGATGATCTACACAACCCCAATATCCCCCGGGATGATCGAGACAATGGTGGCAGCCTCCAAGATGGTTTACATAACTTTACCTACACCTTGCCATGACCCAACATCTATGGTAGAGGTGTCACAGTTCAGGAAACACCTCCTGCAAGGAAAAACACATTAAAGTTCAAGTTACTTACTTGTGCAAGCTCAAGACCAGAGTCCATCTTGTCTTTTAACACTCCACCACAGTGAATTAGGGAGGGCGAATCTGCTGAAGCTGCAAGCACACCACATCCAAAGGAAGGTTAGATGTGTGGGATCAGCAGTGGGTGGGAAAGCAGCTCTGCAGTCACAGACTGACCCGGTGCCGCCCCCAATGCAGCTGGGACTCCGGGGGCCTCACAGCCGCTCTCGGGACAGAACATCGAGCTACACAGCTGCCAAAAATAACTCATCTCTGTCACTGAGGTGATGAAAGATTGAAGCAAACAGAAGGTGACCTGTCCAGCAGATGTACGAATCAAGGGCCCTGACAGACCATTAAAATGATGAACAAACATTTACACCCCAAACGACAGTCTAGCCAACTAGGAAATGAAAACAAGCGCATCTTGCCTCATAATTGCCTCCATAGCAACTTAAGGATCATTGGTCCTTCTCGATTTGGTGCTGCCAGGACACACACCATCCTAGAAGTATAAACTCAACTGTAACATGTTAAAACACTCAGCCTTTCTGGAAAAATATTTTCCAAGTGTTTCCTTTCCTGGTAATTTTAAGCGGGAGGGTTATGTGAGATATATATCCTTAGAGCACAATAGCCTGCTGCACATCTCCACAAGGGAGCCATGCTTTCTGTTGACACAGAAATGGAGACTGAGGAGAACGATTTCACTGGTCAGTTGAAAGTCACTTGTCTGTCATGTAGTGGTTAACCATGATTTACTCTTTTCAGCAAGCACTCGGCCCAGTGACCAGAGAACCATCAACAAATGCTTATCTGCAGACTAACTAATAGGGTAAAAGAAATATCTGGGAGAATATGAAAAGTGCTTTTCCGAAGGCCTCGTTGACATAGCGAATGAACCTCATTTATCGTACCGCAGTGACGACTGCAACAGAACGTGGGACAGCTGCGTGAGATTAGCAGATACACAGCGTGATTAGCTGCTTGGGGTCAACAGGGGTCCGCGCTGTTGGAATTATATCACCGAAAACAAAAACTTGTGCAGTTATTGCATAACTTTCGCATCAAATAACTATCTAAAGTTTATGACAGCTATGGTGTCAGGGATCAAGGAACTCATGCTCTGGAATTAGCAAACAAGGAACTGCAATGTGAGTGATGCGGCACACACTGAGCCACTGAGTGGCTGCTTCTCAGGGGATGCATGGATTCCCTCCTCCATCACAAAACGACAGAAGTATAAGACCACAAGAAACCAAAAAAAATATATTAAATACCTTGGTGCTGAGAAAGGTAGCAGAGCCCAGACCCAGGCCTAAGCTTGGGGGGCATTAAGTTGGGCTGGGAGAGGAGGGGTGTTACACTTGGTTTGTTTCCTGGAGCTGAAATGTGTTTGGTATAAGGTGAACTCTGGTCAAGATGGAACTAATGACTTCTGCTCCCATATGACAGACCTGTCAAACTACATTCAGAAAACTTATAGCATCAGTCTAACGCAACTCCATAACAACACATCAGTACAAACCCATAAAAACACAACTTTTCTTCCTACTTATATATGAAAAACATCCATCAATCTTCTAAGTGATCATCCTGAGTAGGGGGGGGCGACCCAGGCAGCACAGGGCACAGCTGGATATAGTCTGAATGGGATGCCAGACCTGCATAGGGCACCTGCATACACAGTCACACACACTAAGAGAAAGTTAAATACACTAATTAGCTGAAGTGCATGTCTTTGGACTACGGCAGGAAACCGGAGACCACGGAGGAAATCCAGACGATGTGGGGTGATCACATGACCTGGACAGAGGCGGGATTCCTCACACCCAACCCCAGATGTGTGCTGCGACAGTGCTACCCACTGAGCCACTGTATATGAACCACTTTCCCTTCAACATTTGCCATTTAAATAGATGGAAATACTTCAGTGAAACATGTAACTAAATGCACCAAAATCCTCACCAGGAAAAGTGGTTTCAAGTAACGAATACATGGCTTAAAGACGATATAAGAGCAGTTACACGAGGATCAAGTTTCTTAATTAAAGATACTGTAGGTTCTTCAGCATTCCACACTGCCACCTAGCGTGTGCACGATGGCATGCATGTCACACTTTGTAAACCGGTGGTTTTCATATGATTTAGGCAAAGCTCTTAAACTTGTCATTCGGCTAATGAGGTAATGACAGTTCGTTTAATCCGAAAAGGAAACACTACCAAGCCCAATAACTAAGGTTTTAAATATTTGTTGGCAACTTGCATCACTTCTATAAGCGTAATTAGGAAGTTAATATTGGCCTAGCAGAGTTCCTTATTGGGGGTTTCGATACAGAGCTTCTTTCCATTACGCCTGAAGTGGGCGACGGGATAAAAATAACTAGTCAGTATTTGCATGTAAACGTTTTTTAATAGGAAAAACAAAACTGCATAAATGTTATGAGAGGTCAAGGAGCAGAATCAGCCGCCTGCACAGTTTGCTCGCAACATTGGTTGAACTGAGCGGCCGGATGTGTTCGAGACCCAAATAAACATTAAAATCGCTCATAAACAGTGATGGCTGTCATTTGAGAACCCAATGAGAAAATCAAAGCGATGCTTATCTATCTCCTTCATGCATGGGTAAACGCTCAGTAACTGAGCTGACTAACTTCAATCACTTATTATAAATGTCTAATTAATTGTGACAGCTGCATTAATTATCTGCTTAAAGTACGCAATGGTGTGCAGAGAAAACGGAACAATTATTCATGCTAAGTGATTCCCAGGGAAATCTAATTTATCTACAAAGGAGCTAATTATGACAGAACTAAAAGTGAGACTGCGTACTTACACAGGCAGATGACTTTCCTCGCGCTCGTCCGCTTCCTCACTCCGAGACACATCGGCGGCGCGGCTGCGCTCTAACCCCATTTGAGGAGAGCTGGCTGTCGAAGGCGTGTCGCTTTGATTGGCGTCAGTTTGAGCCAATGGGCAGTTCGAAAGCAGCCGCGAGGGCGTCCCCCTGCCCTGGCCCGTTAACCAATATCCACTGAGCGGAACGAAATTTCTGGCAGACCGTCAAACTTCTGCCCAGTTGAGGGAACGGGGAGACCTCTAGCCGTCAATAACAGTAGTGCAGACGGCCGGTCCAAGAAGTTGGTCACTGGGAAGTTTTACAGAAGCTCACCGCACTTCATTTGTAAACTTATTTATTTAGTTATTTATAAATTGTCAACACCTAGACTTTACATATCTGCATTCTCTACAAATGTGTATACTAGATATTATACAATTTTTTCACGGCATTGTGGAGAGTATTGTTCACTGTTGAATACGTATGAACTGTACGATATGCAAAACTGTAAACCTGCGGACGACAGGAAATCCTGAACAGCATGGATTGTTTTTGGTATAAGGAAAACTGAGCGATAACTATACAGAAATTTCAGCTGGGTGTTTGACATTTGGGACATCACCACGACCTTGGCACGGGGGGGGGGGCTAACAGACAAGCACTGTGCAAGAGAGAAGGCGATTTAGGCCTCTTGATGCAGGCCTGGTGACAGGGGCTGTGTGTGCTATACCACTCCAGTACCAAAAAGCAAAGGCGAACTTCAGCACTGTTGCCCAAGTTGGTATTTTTATAACAGCACATGCCTGAAGCAGAGGAAATATTTTCTTCCCTTCAGTTCCCACTCAGATCAGTCGCTTTAGACTTGACTGCCTGCCACACCCCTCCCATCTGGCTACATGGTCTCTGCCAAGACCACTTCAGGTCACATGTCACAGTGCAGGAGCCACTGCTATGACTGCTGTCTGCAGAGCCTACAGGGCTGCCTGAGACGCTAATAAATAATTAGTTAGCTTCCTGCAGGAATCCTATATCATTCCCAGTCATTGCCTCAGGCGTGACACTTGTTGTACCAACATCCTCCCTTAATTATTTAATTACTTCCACCATTTAGATATTTTTTGTAAAGTGTCTTTACAGTCCTCCAACACAAAGTAAAGAGCCCATGTCCTATATCTTGGCAGATACAGGGTTGTTGTAGCATCATTATGAAGCCTCAACAATGAGAACCAAACAGACCTCTATGACGTGAGAAAGGAAAAAGGATTGTGGCTCCATCCCGTTTATCCCCCCTAATGGAACTGAGATACTACACATTGATGCGACGTATGTTGACATAAAACGCAAAGTGTGCAAGAGCATGTGAAGGGGTCAAGTGTGCGAGGATTTTGTGAAAGCAATGGGACACACTGTGCCAAAGTGTAGAATAAAGTGCACATCAAGCGCGCTGCATTTGGCTTATTTGAAGAACGGGACACCCTTGAATACTTGCGCTAAACATATGAATGTGAATACCAAGTGTGGTAGTGTGTAAGTGTGGACTAAGTGAGGCAAATGGGGTAAAGCCTTTAGGTACGGTCATCATAAGAGCAGGATTAAGATTAAGATTTGGTTTATTATTGTTAATACAACAATATACACAGTATACAGTGTATTGAAATGTCGTTCCACACAGGTCCCCCATGGTGCATTATAAAGATGAAAAATATACCAAAAAAATATAAAACAGAAATTTCACATGAATAAATCTAACTAAATTTTTAAGAATAGAAACTAGTTCTAACTAACTATCTATGTACAGTAAACAGGACAGAGACAGTACAAAGTGGTCAATAGCCCCTCTGACCCTTGACCTCACTTCCTGTGGTCCGCTTGCCATTTCTGGTGGTGTTGCATGCAGGCTGGCATAGCAGATATATTTGAAGGGCTCTCTATTGCACGGTAAATGGAGCCCGGGCACATGTAGGGGCTATATGAGTGGCCCAAATGCAAGGTTCAGATAGTGGAGCCTTGCAGTTCCTTAATAAATCTCTGGCCAGGGCTGCAATGTTTACAGGCATCTGCATCAAAGTAATACAATTCTCTGGGGTTTGACCTATATACTAAATGTTTAAAGTCCCTCTTCATATGAAGTGAGCCATTGCACTGATTGGGGGACAACACTATTCCCTGAGTATCAACTGCACCCACAAGCCCCACCCCCTTCCAATTTTAGATGTATAAAGTAGATACCCGGGTGTAATTGAATTCTTCCAATGTTACTGGCAAGCTTTTTGACCATCCATCTGACTGCAGTGGTTTATCGAGCATGCTGTCCTCATCTGTGTCACATCCCCTTCCTGGTGAGGGTCACAACGGTGGCATGAGAAGCAGATCAGACCCAAGCTCCTCCGCGGGGCCACGTGGGATCCCCCGGTCAGCTGGGAGATGCAGCCCCCAGGGCCTGCGCTCAATGGGACGTGCTGGTATCAGCCAACCAGGTGGCATCCTTGTGACACCCCAAACCACCGCATCTGCCTCCTCTCGAGCCGAAAGAGCGGTGGCTCTATTCTGAGGTCTCTCTGTGACTCATGCTTCTTCAACTTTGATTGGTTTGCTAGATCCAGAGACCCAATGAATCTAATTTAAAAAGATAAATATCCGTGTGCCAGCTTACATTCTTATGTGAGTGTTGCTGCTTTCAAGGAGCAGCATTTGGCGTGTGCTATTCATGCTAACTATGCTAATTCTGCCCACCTCAGCACCACTGGCTGGGAGCCCGTCACCCTGAACCCTTACAGTTCAGTGCTAATATACATCATGCAGCCTAATTCATAGTGCATTCCACTGTTTCTGATACTTTGACACATGGACTCCTTGGTACAGTATGATACTTAGACTGCCCTTCTGAAATGCTGGTCACTCATAAAACATAAAGGCCACTAAAGAGATCAGGAAGGAGACGGGATATTAAAATATGTATTTCCTTCACAGTTAACACACCTGGCGAAGAATTATTTCACTTCTGAGATTGTGGAGTGTGAAATATATGGGGGCTGGTTGGATTGAAGTTGTTAAATTGGTAATTTACTTATATTTAACATGACATACACACAGTGCGTACTCTGTATTATACTCTATGCATTTGCCCAGCGAGCTTCTTGAAATGGTAATTCAGTCTCCTCACTCAGAGGGGTAATGGAGATGCTGCATGTGGTGCGGATCGAGCTGCAGCAGGGAGAAGAATACAAATCCCAACGGGGATCGGAAGGCCTTCAAGATGGGAAGGACGAGAACATAGCACTGCGAACCATAACATGCCGCATGCAGCCTTCAGTCCGTCACCCCACACAGGCTGCGAGGAGCTGACTCATCGATGGGCTTTGGCTTTGCTCTTGACCACAGTTCACACCCAGCTTTTAGCAAGCAAACTTCTCTTTCGTTTCTAGAATGTTAGCATACCCGGGGGGGGGGTATGCTAACATACTGCCAGTTGACCTTGGACCCCCAGAGGTTTTTTTTTTCCTCCTTACTTTGGGGAGGTTTTAGTTCCTCTCCTCTGTTATCATTTGGTTTTCCTTCTTTCATTTATTTGTCATCCCTTCTTCCCTTGTTTTTGGGATGGGTCAAACAGGAAGAGAGAATCCTCAGTGACCCATCCCATATTATCTACTCCCAGTATGAGTCAGGCAGAAGGTATGGAATCCACTGGTGTAAACTGAACCATTTCAAGAACTCCTTCGTCCCTTCAACTATCAGCTTTTGGAACAACAGTCTTAAATGACAAAAGAAATAATGGGCATGTTATTTTTTTTTTATTTAAATTACTATTTTTAATTTAATCATTCATCCATTTGTCAATTTACTTACTTTTATTTGCTTATTTATTAAATCGTCTTTTGTCTTTCACATGAGGGACTGGGTGTATCTACGTGTTTTGGTGGGTCCAGCTTTGTAGAGTCCAAATCAAATTTCCCTATGAGAACAATAAAGTATATATCTACCCATTTGTATTGTTTTACTTAATGATGTTGTTATATACCACAACACATCCATGTAAAGCACTTTGGAGTGACTCTGTTATGACTTCTCCCTCAGTAAAATGGGTTACCTTATAGAAACTTAGGGTTAGAACAGCAAGACAAAAGAAAATGCACTGGCAGATAACTAGCAATTACACTGGACGTAACCAAAGCAGATCAGCAAGGAATTCTACCCCCCCCATGCTCATCAGACACCGCATGTTTGATGCTTCCGCCCCGTCAGCGAGTCGGAGACGTCCCCGAGCCCGTCCTTTGGGAGAATAATGAAGCCATTCATGAGCTTGACGGCAGTTCCACAACGCCTTCCCATGGCTCATTGGGGTCTGGCAAAAAATAAGCAAGGTGTTCAAACGAAAAACAAAACAAAAAAGCTAAACAAAAACTCAACTTTATTCAGAAATTCAAGAGGAAAAACCTCAGTAAACTTTAACAATAAATTTGCATTTAAAAAATGACTCTCAAAGCGGATCAACATCTTGACGAACAGAGCGAAACGGGACAGCAGGAATCGAAACAAAAACAGAAGAATTAGTGTGTTGGTGGCATGTCTTCAAAGACGATTGCCATGTCTATCAGAACATCTCCGATCCTTTTACAGTGGATGAGACTACATGTGTGCCCTCGGCCTGCGGGTACAAACGTTTTGGAGGCAGTCCAACATCTCCTGGCCCACAAGAGGCTCCTCCGCTCTGCTGGCCACTCTGTCCCTGCTCGCCACCCACGGATTGGCAGATCCATCCCTGGGACACAGGGAGTCTCCAGCCAGAAGACACCAGTGCCACAGTGCACAAGCCCAGCACCTTTGGCCCCATTTTACTGGTGATCCCACAAGTTCAGGTCTTGGCACAAACTTCCTGTCCCCGACCGGTCGCTGCCTGTCTACCAGCCAATGGGAGGCCAAGTGGCTGGGGGCCTGACAGTCTCAGGGAAGCAGACGGGCACGGCCGTCCGCTTCCTGCAGTGTCATCAAGCAGGAGATTTTGGAATGCAATAGCAAGCAGAGAGGGGAAAAATGCACAATTCAGCCAGAACACAAACGTCCTTTGAGTCACTGCTAGAAATCTCCGTTTCTAAACACTTGCCTGGTGAAACTCTGCCACATTCCAGACTCGGCTACAGCCTGGATCTCTCTGAAATGGCAAATATCCTTTTAAAAATTCCTGCTTTTAAGAGGTCAGGGGGAAAAAAAATAAAATAAAAAATGGACTTCATGGAAACTATAAAACTAACCAAGTCCAGCTTTCAGTGAACAGACCCTTAACACACCTCTGAACTTCGCCCAGAAAGGCAGCTAACACACCATCGCGAGGAGCGACTCCCACGGGGACGGCCTGCCAACATTCCACGTCCCGTCACTAATGAAAACAAGCTCAGCCACGCCATGACGCCGTTCCGGATCCCTGCACTGGATAAACAGGCCTCCCATCTCCTCAGCTGAAGTGGCAGGATGCAGAGGGCCTCATTCAGGTCTCAGGAGGCTGTTTTTGCAACGTCCGTCGCTCCTGAAGATTCTACACTGTTGTCCTGCCTTCTACTTACTAACCGTGTTAATGGTTAACTTAAGTGCTCACAGGCTGACCAAAACACCAGCGAAACCCGACATCCTAAACTAATACTACTATACTCAATATCTCTCTGTAAATAGTGCCGCAAAAAAGGTATTTAAACCTTACCACAAACACAGAGGACGTCGGCCCTCCTACAGGCTACAGGTGATCAGGTCCATGCAGCACAAAACATTAATGTGACACCAGTACTCACCACATGCTTATATACACCACGAATTACAATATCGTATCATAGTTACAGAGGGCAAGTAGAGGTCCACCGAACAGAAGCTAGCAAACAGCAGAGGGCGTCGAAGAGACATAATGCTGGACCGGGTGGCTGTGAACGAGGTGTGCGTGTGCATGAGTGGGTGGGCGGGGCAATGGAAAGGGGGCGTGGCAATGAAAAGTGGGCGTGGCCAGGCACCCAGGGCACTACTCGTCACAGCCGAGGAGCTCCAGGCGCAGGGTGATGCGCTCGTGCCACGTCCAGGGGAGGACGCGTACGAAGCGGGCCCAGATTGTCGGCTCGAAGAAGTTCTTCTTATGAGTGTTGTTGTCGCTGTTGCCCGGGAAGATCTAGTGGAGAGAAACGGCAGTCACTATACGCAGAGGGACGTGGGCTAAAGCAGTAATGCAAGGCCACCTTGAGAAGGCGAGCAGGGTAGAGGTATAGACATAGCAGTAGGACTGGGATTACAAAAAAAAAAAAAAAAAAAAAAAAAATCGATTCTGATTTAAATTCATCATCATTTGCATAACCCGATATGGATTCAAAAAATCCCACGATCGATTTTTTAATATACGCATTTTACAGTCTACAAGACGGGCAAAATGGAGGTGAAATGCTATGGAAATAAACACAAAGCTCCAAAATCATTTAACAAGACGACATCCAGATGCAATGTTTTTGCCGATCGACCATCGTGTTTAATAAGTTAATAAAATTAATGCAGCAGCTTTGGGGTCAATTCCAAATGCGCATTATTAATAATGCCCAGAAGGAGTTATCATTGTACAGTGTACAGCATTAGTTACCTGAGAATCTTATATACAAGCAAAATTGTTATTGTAACTGAAATATCCCTAAATCCAATCTATTTTGAAATCAAACTGAATTGGAAATCAAAATGACTGATATAGTGACTTATCACCAGTCAGGTAGATTCAGTCGGTCACACTGACCTTGTCAGTTTTGGTCTCTGGGTCCTCGATCACAGACCACGTCTGGCCGTCAGTACTGTAAGCCACTTTAAAGGCAGATACAAACCGCACCACTCCGAAATCTTTAGCCCCTTGGGTAATAATGCCCGAGATCCGTTTAGGCTTCTCCAGGTCCACCTGTTCCAGTGAGGAGGAAAGGACAAATCAAGAAGCTGTATTCCAGAGACAAAGCTGGGGGTATGTAAATATAGCGCCCCCCAGTGGCAGAGCATTACTCTCTACCTGGAACCACTCGGAGCGGCTGTTGGTGGCAGCGGTCCAGGCGTTTGTCTTGCCCTGCCTGTCCAGCCTGGCGTAGTAGGGGTACCAAGTGAAGGCCTCGATGCCCCAGGTACGGTAGACGCTGGAGGCCGTCAGCTGACTGTCCGGGATCAGCAGCGACTTCACGCCCAGCGGCTCGGAGCAGCCTGCCACGGTCGCAGAGGAACCGTAAGGGAAGGAGAGCGAGAGGCGTGCAGGAGGCCGCGGGGTGAGCAGATGCAGGACCAGCGAAGAAGCGGAGCGTGCAGATTAGCGCGCGGCGCGATGGGCAGAGCTGCGGGCAGCTAATGGGCTTCTGGTCATGGTGCTACAAGGTCACCGTTACCCACCCGGGACGCGGTTCCATGGCCCCGATTGCTATTCCACTGACAATAGCAAATAAAACTGAAACTACAGTTCAACAGGACATGTGTATATGGTTATTAAAGCTCCCTCACCCCCCATTCAGAACCAAGCTGGTGGCAAGTAGCACCAGCAATGGTGGATATGAACAACTTCTCACATAGGGCGACACAGGTTATCCCTATACCCCCCCCCCCCCAAAGGTAGACGGAGGACAGGGTTCCTATAGGCGTGGCCCTCCTGCCAATCAGCTCTGCTCAGCCCGAAAGCAACATTAGCCAGGCTCTCTATTGGACAGCTTCACTTAATAGCTCCTCTTTTCCATTCTAAATGCCACCATTATATGCGGAAATACAGGAGCAAGATTACAAGCCAGCCGACTGGATAAACTGCAATTCTCAGCACCGCATCGCGCAAGACCAGTAGCCATGCTGAAAAGCCTCACCGACGGTCACATGATCGGTCGCATGACTCTGATGTTACCATTCAGCTCACAGCCGACGAGCTCCATGCGGAGGGTGCAGGCCCGGCGGCACACCACGGGCAGGATGCGCAGATACTGGGCCAGGATGGGTGGGTCAAACAGGTTCGTCTTGATCCCATCGTTATCCACATTCCCTGTAAACACCTAATGTAGAGGGAGTGTCATCGCTAATGAATCTGCCTGGCAAACAGGCTCCAGGGAAATCTCTGCAGTAGTTTTTTTAATCATAAAAGCTGCCATCCTCACGTTATCTTTCAGCTGTCCCTCGAGTTGGTATACGCTGTAGGTTCTGCCATCCAGACTGGAGGCCACCTTGAAAGCTTTGATGAACTCTGCTGTGCCCATTCGACTGGCACCCTGGGTGACGATGCCCGTCAGCCGCATCTTCCTCCGCAGGTTGACCTGCGGCCGCAACACGAGCAGAGGTGGACAGTCAGGTCCCGTGCCGGACTGGCAGACGGCCGGCCTACGATTCCAAAGTGTACGCCCACCAAGTCCCAGCGGCCAATAGCAGCTGTCCGTTTTCATCACGGCAGAAATTAAAAACTTCAAGATGCATGGCAGGTGGGATTAATCGGTCAGGCGCTGCCTGGGTTAAACCCACGGGAAGTGGATTAAAAGCAGATGACAGAAAATGACAGCGGGATAATCCCACCCAGGGGTTCTTCTGCAGCTCCCCCAACTCCCACCCCTCCAAGATGGGGGTATCCAGGAGGCAGCAACCTCACCTCTATCCAGGGGCTCTTATCATAAGAGGCCGCGGTCCACGCGTTGACAAGGCCCTTGTTGTTGAGGCGAGCGAGCTCGGGGCCCCAGCGCTGCAGTCCCAGAATGCCGTAGTGCACCGAGGAGGCGGAGATCTGGGACTCGGCGATTCCCCCTTTTTCCATCCCCAGCAAGGAGATGCACCCTGTGTGGAGGATATCCAGCCGACAGGGGCCCCTGGTGATCCGGGAACGGGAGTCACATGACCGACAAAGATGGAGGCGAGGCAGGACAATACTTACGGAACTGACAGTATTTGCCGACATGGGGGGAGGGGCAGTGGCAGCCGGGGACCCCGTTGACGGTCCGACACACTCCTCCGTTCTTACAGGGCCGGCCCGCACAGTCGCTCAAACCTGAGCAGAGGTAGGGCCAGCATAGGCATCAACGTCCCCAAAAACCCAGCCACAGAAGTCGAAGAATGTAAATACAGAAACTGGGCCACCTGCGCCTGACAGAAAACCAGCCTAAAGCCCAGAGGCTTTTTAACGGTTCCAGCATTTCTGGCCACACTGGTTTCACCTTGTTTTGTTTTGATTTGATTTAAAAATGAAGTCACAGCATTAAGCCGAAGGTGTTATTTACACCCTTTAAAAAAATAAAATAAAATAAATAAATAAATAAATAAATATATATATATATATATATATATATATATATATATATATATATATATATATATGGAGAGATTCTATATTCTTAAATCATGTTTGATACAAAAGGTGGGTGAATGGTGAAATGTTTCTAGGAAACATTACTTTGTTCCATAAATTAATCACAGCATGTTCATCACTACATTAATCACTGCCTAGTCATTCTTACCCACATCATAGACGACAAATAATTGATGAATATGAATTATGCAGATCAAATAAAAGGAGAATATTTTTAGTTGGCTAATAAAGAACCAATCTGGTTTAATGCAGCTGAAAAATTGCACTCCTCCATCAATGCCTTGGTCCGCCCTCGTCGGGCCCGAGTGACTCATGGGGTGACGGACCAGAAGGAACAAAGATTTGGTCAAGTTCAATCAGCTGGAACGTTAACCAGTCCAGGCTGGTCCATTTGGACCGCATCCTGAGCCCGGGGCTACGAGCGCTACAGGGATCTACGCAAAAAGTTTAACCATGTTATTTCAAAGTCTTAAATGGATCATCGTTTCAAACAAAATACACCTTTGCACTCTCCTGCTAATTACCCAGTGCCTAATGCATCACTGGGGGGGCCTGCTTTCCTCCGTCAAGACGGGGCTCATGATCCGCGTTCCAGCTGAGCATGCCATCACGTCTAAGCTGGAGCAGAAGCACACGGAACAAGCGAAGGAATGTCCCGGGAGATTTATTTTTGTTTTTTTGGGGATGTCCAAATCAGCAGGAATCCGAAACGCGGACGACGATTCAGCTAAATGAACGCGGTGTCCCACACAGCGGCTGCACGTAAAAGCACTCTTACCTTATCTGAACACACCCCCCCCCTTTCATGACCCCCACCCACCCTCCTGTGGGGGTTTTACCACCCCCCACTAAGTGGATTGGGGTCTCCTGGCGGTGCCAGCCTGCACCTTGCCAATACACCATATATGGTGATATTTAATCAGCTTAAAGGAGAACAAATCATTTGCTGGGACGGACCACTTAGAGCTATATTAAGGTGCCATCTTGAAACGCACAGGGTCTGCAGAGAGCTGTGACAAGAGTCAACCCCCCCCCCCCCAAAGCGCGCGCGCACACACACACACACACACACACACACACACACACACACACACACACACACACACACACACACACACACACACACACACACACACACACACTCTACTAGCTCTGCCGTTCACAGCGCTGTCGGGGCCCGAGAGTCAGCGCTACCAGGAGAATTCCTGAGTCAGTGTAAACGTCCATCTCAGAGCAGAGGATCGATCAGAAAGCGGGAGGTAAGCAGATGACCTCATCAGCGAGAGGCAGAGGCCCGCAAACACCAACCAGGGCAGGCAGAGGGACGACCGCTCAGCTTCTCTCTTAGCACAAAGCCACACACTGGCTCCCAGTTAAAGACCAGTGCCAGTCTTATCAAAATGGGAAAAGGTCACCTCTGCTAACCAGAAACAGGTCTGCTACCCCCCCCCCATCCCCACCAAGAGTCGGATTAATGACTGAATGTTGTCTCTGCGGGAGACGTCCCCTGGACACATCCATTCTGACAGGTCGAATCTGCCCACATGTCACGGAGACAGAAACACCTGATATTAAACATCATTCAACGACCCAAGAGGATTCCGAGAATGACAGATGCCCTGGATTTATGGTTGACATCACAGCCCCCTATGAATAAAATGAAATAAATAAATACATACATAAAAGTCGGGTTTGAGTGTTGAATACTCTAAAAAATAAACTTACTTTTCTGGCAATGAATTCCCAGGAAACCTTCTTGACACTTGCAGACATATTCGCTGAAGACATCCCCTCGTCGGACGCCGTTGGTGACCTCGCAGATGCCACCATGCTTGCAGGGGTTGGGATTGCAGGGCCCTGGGGGGGGGGGGGGGAACAGATGTCAGGACGGCAGAAGTTTCCATGGGGACACAGCCAACGTCGCACATATAGGTAATGAGAGCAAGATGCCATTCGACACATGCACACTCACGACCCTCGGGGGGGGGGCATTACCGATCTCCGTGGTGTTGCAAGTCTCCCCGCCAAAGCCGTCAGGACAGACGCAGAAGAAGGGGGGGCTGCCCCGTCGAGTGACGCAGGTCCCGCCATTGTGGCACTTGTTCACCTCACAGTATTCACCTGCAGGGGGCGCACCAAGAGGAGCATATGTGGCGTGAGGGATGCATCACCACGCATGCCACACATACTGAAGACGGGCCACCGCCAAGGAGACTCAGGGCGCCACACCGGGCAGCACAAGCCGGCATTGTGGTTGGGGGGGGGGGGGGTCGGTCACGTGCCGCCCGGGAGCCTGCCACACGCCGATGCCGCTTGATGCCGCCTGGCGGGCCTCACGCAGAAAGGTCCGGGCCACCGCTAAAAGGGCAGCATTATGCCACCAGCCGCTGCCAGGCGACAAACACTCTGGTGCGATTCCCTAATGCGACGCGGGAAGCAGCAGCAAAGGAGGCGGCATGAACTGCACATTGTAACGAGTCATATCCGTGTGACTGCAATAACGTTAACGTCATTTCAGACAGCAAGGATAAACAAACTAACGCATTATGCTCTAAGACAGGGGTGGGCAATCTTATCCAGAAAGGGCCGCTGTGTATGTGGGTTTTCGTTGCAACTCCATAATTAGATCAGTAATCAGAGGACTGATTGGCTGAAGAGTCCTCACACCTGGGTTTGAACAGCTGACCTAAAGGTTATCACAAAACCCTGCAAGCACACTGGCCCTTCTCGGATAAGATTGCCCGCCGCTGCTCTAACTGTTCAGCTTCTCATGGCAAAAGTAAGGTTTCACTGTACTAATTTGATATTTCGCAGATGTCACCATTTTACTCAAGCCTGAGCCTCAATAAATTAACTCCCCCGCCTTGTCGGGGCTCACTTAACGCACGGAAGCTGGGGAAGGCACTTGGGGAAAAACCAGCGCCTTTTTGGAGATAGCGATAGGCAGCTTAAGTATCATTTGTCCAAATCACAATGCATCATTTCATTCATTTGCCATCACTCCTGTAGCTGGTGGTGGGGGGGCGGTGTAACCAAATTAACAGATTTTGTTGGAGCTTCCAGAACCATCTGTTCCTTTTTTTCCCCCACAAGCTGAACAGCTGGGAAAAGCTTTCGCAGCTGCTCCACGTGCAAGACCCACACTGGAAAAACACGATTTAAATCCTGCCAGCCTAAACGCCGTCGGCCTATAGGGTTCTGCACAGCTCGGAGGCATGACCCAATCCAGTGCTGATGTAATGCTAGCAGTTGGGAGAGGCCGGCCTGTGATTGGCTGTGCCGTGGGACGGGCCATGAACGGAGAGTTAGTCATAACAAACTCCCCCCCTCTATTTACTAATGGACTATGCACATTCTTGACCCTGAAAATCTGTTAGTGTGAAGTCCTTCAGGCTGAGATACACAACTATCAGCACACATCAAATCGTACATCCAACCAGAGCAAATATCCCCTGTTTTGCAAAAAGAACAGCAAGCCAGGACTGAGCATGCTAATCTCCTCCCCAGGTGTGCGGGGAAGTGGGCAGCAGCCTGTGAGCGAAACAGCCCATAAACCGAAGCTCGATTCCCTCATGTGACGTTTAAGCTGGAGTATGTGTGACGGTCTCACAACACCACCTGTCTCACTGCAATCAGGCTCCCCTGAGCCCCCCCCCACGAACAGGAGCCAACACAGCATGCATGTCCTGAGCTGCTGCTCAAGCCTTCCCCATAGTGTGTAAAACGATACTTTAAAAACACGACTGTTCCAGGCAAAACTGTTTACATGACCATCTTCAGCACACAGACGGGGGAAAAAAAACCCATAAAACCCAAGAACCTAAAACATCCACCCGTTTTCCGTTCCGGTTACGCGACACAGGTCGTGATGCAGACAAAACAGAAAACAGGAAGAGGGACCTTATGAGGTAAGCTGATGTTCCGGGGGGGGTAATGATTAGCATGATTCACGGTTAGCTCGGTCATGCTAATCGATGCTGGCAGACTGGGCAGAACTCGGCACTTGAGTCGAAGACCGCTATCCCAGGAAATTAAGAGCTTTGTTAATGAGAAACGGATTTCCTATCTGGGGAAGGAAAAGGGCAGGGGAAATTTTTTTTTTTTTAAAAAGGCTTGCATTCCATGGTGACCGGAGTTTAGAACACGTCACAGCGGAGGAGCAGCAAGCTTCTGGACGGTTCTCCCCAGGCAGGCGTTGAAGGCACATCCTCCTGCCACCCCACCCAGGAGCCCACAGTAGCAGGACACAATGTTCAAGGCGGGTGGATAGAGCAGCCTGGGGCAAGAGCTCAGCATTTGACAGGACAAATAAAAGCCCTTTGTGCTGCCATTTTGTCTAGACGTGGACTATAAACAATTAGCAAACAAATGTAGGAACCTCACAACATTTCAGTTATAATGACATGGGTGACAAAATTACTTAAGACTCAAATGGTACAGTGCTCTAATAGATTTGATTACACTTAATTACCGAGTAATGACATCAACTAAATCCAGCTTTTAGGCAGTGCTTAATTATAGATAAAATCAAGTTTAAAATGGCATTGAAGGTCAGTTATCTGTTGTAGACAGTCAGCTGGGAGGAACTACTCCTGTGAGGCCCAGAGGACATAGGAGGAGGAGGGGAAAAAAGGAGAGAGCTATGTTTATTATTCTCTATATCGAGATGCAAAAGAGCTCCAAAAGCCAAAACTGACTTGCGGGAGAGGACAAAAATAAGCTTAACCCTAACCTCCTTCATTCTGACACAAAAACAGTAACAAACAAAAACCAGAAAACAAACACGGAACGAGGCCAACACATAGATGTAGGTTACAGCAAACTTCCTCAGGCACAGGGAACCATGGATACTGGGTTCATATGGCAGGAGACACACCCACGGAGACCACTGCATGACTCTCACCCGGAAACTCGGGTCGGGAGCCATCGACGTCTGCCCACGCATCCCACAGCTTCACGGAGAGGCACAACCGCCAGTGAAACCTCCTGCACGCTTAGGGCGACGTGGCCCCAGTGAGGAGCAGACCGGCATTCCAGAAAAGGCGGCGTAAACCTCAGTAATCTCTGCAAACTCAAGTGTGGAGAAACAGCTATAAATAAATCTTAGCTGAAGCGTTCAGTTCCATTTCCTCCCAAGAAATTGCATTTTTGACACCAGATAAGATCTTGCAAGAAGCGCACAAAACAATCCGAGATCCGCAGATTCTGGAGCCTCCCGAGAGGTAGAGTCCCACGTTTTTTGTGCCCACGCACTGGTGACAGAAATGCCACCATGTTCGTCGGGGTGTCCTTTACACGGTCGGGCAGCACATGGCGCACGTTTTCAGATCCAAACCACACAGCCGTGTGGAATACCCAGAAACAGGGACGGCTCTCGCTCGCCGTTTTCGCGCCCAGAGTTCGGCAGTCTCCCAGAAAGCACGCCTCCAGCGAGGCCAATCGGCAAAGCTCTGTCCCTCTGACTCTTGGTCTAGCTGTGCCTCTGACTGCAGTTTGAAAGTTCACACATATATAACAAAAAAAAAAAAAAAAAGTTTAAAAATAACCTGACCAAACTCGAGAGGCAACCTGGCAAAACACTCAGAGAGGCAGCCAAGGGCAGAGGAAGCGGCAGGTCCGGAGTACAGCCCCGGAGAGAGAAAACACACACCACCCTCAGGAGAGCAACAAGCAAAGCGGATCTCGTGTGATTCAAGAGCAACACCCAAAATAAGTGGGTGTAGTTTGTTCATCAGATCTAAAACCTGTCTTTATGTTAACAGATTAAGCAAGAGAGGACACCGTTTAAATCCATCTAGTCTGACTGGAGTGTCCATTCATTATATACAGCTGCCAGGGCATGTTAATGAGTAACGCTCAGTGCAGTTAGTGTACTGCATTTCGCAATATTTTCATATTTTATACTAAAATCCTAAAGGCGGGCCCATCGTACGGTGAAGCGCGTTTCCGGGACTGGAGTGCAGCATAATCTCCGTAATCTGTAAATTCAAGAGCGGAGCGGCACTAAAAATAACGCATGGCCACCGCATATGACAGACATATGCCGTCTCATTCATTGAAGTCGCTGGCTGTCGGTAGCAAAACAGATGGCAGCGCTGGCTATGCGCATCAAGCCTGTCTGTCGGTTTTATCGGGCCCCTTGGTGGCCGTTTGTCCGCCTCGTCCCTGGAGGCCGGGCCCATGGCCATGGAGCCATTCACTGTACTCCACTAAACAAATCCGCACAGTTCCCGGAGTGAGGATATGATTCATGGGGAATGAAAGCAAAACCCAGTATCTGATCGAGTCGCAGGGGAAGCAGGAGGGGAGCGAAATCCCTCAATCACTCCATAGATCTGAAGCAGGAACCACTGTTCCTCTTGCTCTTGTGGGAAATTACAGCGGTTTAGTTAGTAATCGGATGCCTGCTACTCTCCTCTCCCCGCTTTACCGTTCCGAGGGGCTGCGGATGACGAAACGCTGCAAACGAAAAAGACGGACAAGTGCGGAGATCCTCCGTTTGGGTGCCCAGGGGGAGTGGAGCAAAACGCCATGCAATCTGATTACCTGCAATACAGAGATCGGCGGCCGGCACAAGCTACGGCACATAGACCACTGGAGAAGGGGGTGTTATAACCCTCAGCACCGGCACGTGTTTCGGGCCCCCCGGGACAGTACATTTTACACTAGAAAACGCCAATCGTGGGGGGGGCGGGGGTAGGGAGAGGGATTAAAGTGACCCCCCGCAACGCTGGAGTTCACAAGTGCGATCGCTTTAAAACTCCGCTGTCAGCAGGAATTAGGTTCAGGTTGTTCACTTGGTGCCGGTCTACTGCACCGAACTTCAGTGGACACGACGTAAACAACTGTACTGTGATTATAATCAGCGGCAATGCATAAGTAAAACAGATTCAATCGACTTTAAACCGCGACACTGAGTCCTGCGAGCAACCTGAACCGATAAAACAAGTTAAAATATTCCCTGCGAGTGTAATGTACTACAATGATCCACAAAGCATGAGGACAAAGTAAAAACTGGACTTACCGAACACCGCGCAAACAGCTACCATCAGTATACAGAGAGGTACACCGGAGAAGGAGTGTGTCAGGCGGCGCTTCCACATGCCGGATTGTTTGCGGTTCAGCTGCTCTCACTACGTACGGCGATCGACTCTGAGAGACTTGCCGAATGTTTGGTCTCCGACTGAGACAGAAAGCAGAGAGGCGGGTATCATATTAGCATGATCCGCAACACGTGTGCCTGCGGCCCCAGCCAATTACAGCGCCTTTTCCGCCTTATAAATGCCGGCCGCCTGCACACGCTTCGGAAAGTGTCGCTCGTTGGATGGCTTTGCCGTGGAGTTCATTTGTAATGCCGTTTAGCATGGCTTTGGTATATATTAAGAGGAGATAACTCATGTATTGCATATACTTATACGCGATAAAACTATTACAGTTGAATTTGGTTATGAATGGTTGTATAAAGTAATAAAATATTTTTTTTGTAATTTGTAAATCCGCTTTTCGCAACATTCCACAGCCAAAGCAATTACAAAAAAATATCTGCAAGTTATTTTCCTGTAGATGGAAGCATTGTCGTTTTACCAAGACACCAAGTACATTAATTTATTGGAAAACTCGTTCTCATGTGGTTAATGTAATTTCCACTATTAGAACAAATAGAAAAAAGAGGATAATTATACATTTAAAGTGTCAGATTTCAGAAAAACTATAGATAAAAAGAAACTTATGTTTCCCTGAATCCGGGCAGATGTCACTTGTGTATCCATTAGTCTCTGAATTGTCAATCATACTGAATCATACAGCACCAAAACTTTCTTTTGTAGGCCTACATGCGGTAAATACATAACAGTTCATGTTAGTATAATATCTAATTTCTTCTATAGATTTTTCTATAGAAAAATCTGATACTTTGTTTAGTGTGCGGTCGTATGCGATGTGGGGAGCGAACGAGTCGTATTTGTATTCACAAATACAAAAACTATGTAAATACATATTGTTATTTTAATAATCCATGCTCACTCGTGTAACAGTAGACTATTATTAGACCGGTAAACTGATGCCATACTCCAGTATAGCTTATGGCTATCTTGTCGTGGGGTGGTGAGAAATGTTTTGGTGACAAATTTTACATAATCTGCGAAGTGCTAGTGCATGATATATCCGGTCGGGCCGTCAAAGTATCTTAATTGTGTAAATACGGCGAATTCTGTGGCAGGATGGTGCCTTGTGATAAAAAAAAGTAGACTGTGAGTATCCGGACATTATATGGAAACCACAATCGCTTCGATCGCAAGATAAAGTGACGTCATACACTAAGAATTTCCCCCCATAAACATCGTAATCAACAATAGTTGATTGACCTCAACGTGATACCAGTGATGAGGATATTTCTTCTGTCCAAAACTGGTCTCTTGAATTTTGACCTAGATGTATATTCCTTTCCATTTTCGCTAGCAAGATGAGTGTGAATATCAAATGACCTAATATTTCCTTGTTGAATGATTTTGCCTTTTTGTAGATTCGTTCCTCTTGTTTAGCAAATTTCATGAATTGATAGAATGATTACATTCCTGCATTGGAAAAATAGTATTGAAGATGGATGGACTGAATAAATAAAATCTCTTTCACATCTGTTATCCTATAAACAAACAATATGTACATGCACAAAAACAAGTAGTCTGTCGCCCCCATGTGGACAAAATATGTGATGCAGTTTTACAAATGTGAAAAATCTAGGTTTCTTTGAACTGTAAACCGAACAAAAACTATGGAAAAAATAATTGTGAGCTCATTGTTTAATTTAAAGATCTTCAAAAGTTCTTCAATAGAGTGACAGAATTCTCATTCAAAAACACTGAAGATGCAAAATTTGAAACCAGGAATATTAGCAAAGCCTAAAAAAACTTTTTAATGCTTTACATGCATCTTCTGCATTTGAAACGGGCTGTAGCTGCAAAGTTCACCAAGTCAAATTAACGATGATGAAAGGACTGCAATTCAAAGCCACATCCTACACACAGTGAGAATAGTGGCACCTAGAGCCATAGCTAGAAATTCAAGCCCCCCCAGACAAAATGTCACTTTGTCCACCCCCCAACCACCAAACTTACATTATCCACCCATCCATCCATTTTTTTTTTACTCACTTGTCACTTGTCGGGGTCATGGGGGCCCGGAGCCTGTCGCAAAAACGACATGCACAAGGTAGGGAATAACACAGGGTGGAGAATTCATTTTATAACCTTGTGTATTTAAGGGCCCATGTAGAGTGCAGGGGGCCCTGAATCTACCAAGTATCCGTGCCCCTACTGCACCCCTGGACCTGTGACTGCAGAAAATTTTGATTCGGTTGCCCATCAGGGGCCACTTATATTTATGGGGGTGTCCAGGAGCAGAGTTGTTCTTCCTGAGGCCCCATAGCCAAAAGAGAAACGAGGGAGAATTAAAAATGGGGGAGGGAGGTGGATCGGTCCCAGCAAATCAATTTGCCAGGTTTATTGATGTGGGCTGGCACCAGCTATGCCCCCCCCCCTTAGATCAACTCCTGAGTGAGAAGCATGTCAATCAAAATTATTTTTCAAACACAATCACATACACACACAGGTTTGTAATTATATCTTTATATCTGTAACTCCTACCCAGCCCTAACCTTAAGCATTTTAGCATTTTTACTTTTTTGATTGCATCCATAGATCTTTGTGGGAACCTGAAAAATGCTCCTGCGATGGGCCAGCCAATGGTCAATGTCAAAAAACAGATTTTTATTATATTCTACACACACACACACACACACACACATTTTGTTGGGATAAAGCATAAATTAGTAATTTAATAAATACAGTGGACCCTTGGTTTAAAAACTCAATTCGTTCACGAGAGCTGGTCGTAACTCAAGTTGGTCGTAAGTCGACTATTTTCCCCAAAGAAATAATGGAAATATGAATAATGCGTTCCGAACCTCTCAAAGCACCCCTTACATAACATTTTCATAATAAAAAGGGTTGTAATTTTTATTGTATTTATCCTTTATTTTACCAGGAAGGTTCCATTGAGATACAATATCTCTTCTTCCAGAAAGTCTTGGCCAAGATGGCAGCAAATAAGATAAAAAGTTTCATATATACACACACACACAGATTATTAATATAAACACAAACCAAAACACCTACAAATACTCAAATTTACCAGAAACACCAATAATTTTCCTAGTGTACTTACTTGCCTTTTGTTTATCCACACTTAATAATACCCTTTCTAGCTCGTCTAACTCTGTTGATCGTGACTTACTAATTTGAGTAACACCTTTAGGAACAGTAGCTTCCTTATACAAATCATTTAAGTGTAAGATTGTCGAGATGGTGGATTTCGACATGCTGTATGTATTACTGAGATCGGTCACAGGAACGCCACTCATATTTCTGCACAAACAGGCATATCTGGGCTCAGACTGACGCTTACAGACGCCTCTCGGGCATCTCAGCTCTTTGTTTACAGCCTCACAAGCGGATGCATGTTTTGGCCTCAACCGGCATTCGGGTCATAACTCAAAACTTTGGTTGTAAGTCAAAACTAAAATTAAGTTGTTCGTATGTCAGGCCGGTCATAACTAGAGGGTCCACTGTAAGTGCAAAGTCACATTTCAAGAATGAATAATGACAGTGAACTGCAAATTGATCTTGTTAATGTTTATTTAATCATCAGTGTGGTTCCCCTTTCTGTACTGTGTGTTACACTTTCTGTTTGACAGAGATATTGTCACTTTATAAGTATAATAATAATTATTAATACTTTTATTGATCCCTGTGGGGAATTTGTCTTTTTATGCCTCCCTCAACTTGCTCTTTGTGGAGTAAGCTGTCTCTGAAGAGCTGGGGGTTAAGGGCCTTGCTAAAGGACCTGCAGATGTGCTGGGTTTGAACCAGTGACCTTCTGATTACAGGCACACAGGCTAAGCCCACTGAGCCACACGCTGCCCCTATAATATTTCTGTCATTATAAAAATGGCTGACTGGGAAATTCACTACCTCCTGCCCATACTATTCATTAAAATTACCAAGCTTTTAGAAAGACTGATACAAATGGAAAACAAAGTTGCATATATCTAATGTAAAGAATTAATGTTGACCTTGGCAAACAACAAAAATCTACTCAAACCGCTAGAAAGTCCTTCAATACCAAGATATGAATCCAGAGAATTAAACCTCAACCAGCAATTTCTGGGGAACACACGGGAAATTCGTAACCCACATCAGCACCAAGAAAAAAAGGTCAATTAAAATAAAATAAAACCAGGAAGAAAAGGCATCATGCAAACTGGAGACCTCAAATACGAAAAGTTAAACGAGCTGCAGAATCATCCAACTGACAGACATCAGTAAGCATGATATCCATAAAGGAAGAGCTGGGCTCAACTCCAGCAGTCATGAGAAAACAGTAGTGCTCGCTTATGGACCGGAGGTGGGGGGGAGGGCACGCGGGCATCATTACTATTAGAAATACTATGATAAACATAGTAAACATATTTACAAATAATTTAATGCAAACCGATACATTTTTACTAATAAATGTCTGAGTTATATCCGCGTTTTGGAAATAAAAAGTTATATCCAGGGACACCGCTAGAGATTTTGGGCCTGAAGCCCCGAATCCATACCAATCCGATGTTCAAAATACCTGTCACTCAGGGGCCGTTGGGATCGTCCTAACACCCCCATCCCCTTTTTAGGGCACCCTTGTTATGTTTGACTTGGCCACGTGAATGTTCCGCGGTCCACGTGGAATGAAATGAAAACCTGCATGTAAAGTCATCTGCCCTGCAAGTTCTGGACTAAAATAATCCCCTATACACATAAACAAACAATCTACTGTCCCGGTCATCCATCTAGCGACAGCGCAATACCGGAAGTAGGCGTGCCGACCACCGCCGAGGGACCGCCTCTAATTATGCAATGTGGAGAGCGAGCCAATGAAGAGAGGGATATGTAAATGAGTTCATCCTGGACTGGGGAGAGGCCGCGTTGCTAAGCGCTTCACTATCTCTGCGCGCGGGGAGGAAAGTGCTACAAGGACTGGAGTGATAAATAAATGGAAGAAACCTACATGGAAAGACTTGTTAGCGAGAGAACTACGAGTCAGCCCCGGGGAAAGTGACAGGTATGTACCGCTGGTTGTAATGTTGTGAAGGCTGCAGATTGCTTACTCACTGCGTGTCGCGATATGAGGTCAATCGTACAGATAGCGCCGTTCACCATATAAACGGTATACTTCTTTATAGTGATGTGCAATTTGGGATTAATATAATATAAAATAAGAATAACATGGCAGCGTGACGCAGGTCGATCGGATTTCCGGCTTTCAATGGTGAAATGTTTTGTCCAGGTTTTAAAGCATCCTGTCTGGCGGCTTAGCTGGTCGCCATTTATTGTCTGGGCGTTTTTCACCTGCTTTTTAAATCGGAAATGTTATAGGTATCTGTTTAGCCGGTTTATCACTTACGAGCGTATCTTCTCAAAATGCTCTAGACGGCACTATTTTGCTGACTGACTGCGCCTTTCTGCCATAGCGGCTGTTTTTCCACCGGCCGCAGTCTGTACCCCCAGCAGGCAGGTGCATCCCGCGGGTTTCTCTCCGGTATATTACACCCTCTGTGCTGTGTGACTGTGACACTGGCTCGCTGTGTTTAGATCGGTCGATGTGACTTCACTCTCACCGAAAGTCCACACTAAGTGGGAGGCGTTTACATTTTTATTATCCATCCATTTTCTGTAACCGCGCGTCCTATTCGGGGTTGCGGGGGTCCGGAGCTTTTCCCGGAAGCAACGGGCACAAGGCGGGGAATAACCCTGGACGGGGGGCCAGCCCATAATAATAATAATAATAATAATAATAATAATAATAATAATAATAATAATGAAATTAGTAGTTTTTATGTTATTGTGTTATTTCATGTGTAATACAGATGCTGCCTTTGTTTGTGGTTTATCGGCTTGTTTTGTATGGCGTTAAATTAGTGCCAAAACTCACGCGCATAAAAACCCGCCTCCAAAGTGTCACAATTCCTCCTATCCAGCGAGTGCTGTGCAGACGCGAGCGCGTAGATAGGGTCCAGCGAACGCGAGCGCGTAGAGAGCATGGATTTTCTGCTCGCGAGCGCATACACGCGCGTAGTTTTTATGCGCGTGAGTTTTGGCACTAATTTAACGCTATAGTTTTGGATCCTGCGGCACACAAGAAATCATTTAGTTGAAATCGGTACTTTATAGGCTGACAGACCGTAAACTTTATCACTAAATGCTATACACAGTGACCTTTTGATGCTACAGAATAACAGCACGTTTGTATTTTGCCAGACATTTTTTAGGATCATTTTGTGCCGTTTTCCTTTGGAACGGCAAGTTATAGGAGACCCTTTCCCTTAGTAAAGGTGTACAGGTGGAAGCTATTTACGGAAGATATTTGTATTTATTTCAGTATTATTCTTGGAAATGGCGAAAAATATATTTATGATTTTTACACTAAAGTCTGCATGGTCAGTTCATATCCTGCATTTGAGTGTTATGCTGGCTAGTCATTGGGAAATTTAGTGTAGTTCCACAGCGTTTTTAGGAAAGGTACATAAAAGAGCATTTTCCTTGTCAATTTTCATATCTTTTCAGCATTTTGCAGTGGCTTCAATCCTTCATGTGTTTGTATTTTTTTTTTAATTAGTCCTTTATTCATGTCATTGATACACCATAGAGACAGTGATTAGTGCATTTTGAATTTAAATGGTATGTTACTGGCTCCTAAAAAGTTCAAATAAAGCATTAAATTAAGATATGAAGTCAGCTTTGGTTATGAGTGTCATGCGACTACATTTTAGCACATTACATATTGCCACGTGACTGCCAGGCACGTCAGACAACACCTAGTGGTATTATATATCCTGCTAGTATTATATATAAAATTCAGTGTATCATGTTGAAACTGTGGTAATTGATACCACAAATGTGTTAAGTACATGTTTAACTGCACGTAGTTGAACTCTTTGTAGAAAGTGGCCATTCTGCTACAGTGAGGGAGCCTTTGCAGGCTGGGTCCACCTGTGTTCTGTATTATAAAAATAGAGCTTGGTATAGTGACTACAGGCAAACCCAAACACCAGGTGTATGTAGCCGCTCTGCTCAACATGCGCATGTAAGCAGCCTGGGAGGTGTTTCTAACCCTGCTGCTGTCTGTCAGCTGGTATTATGGGATGTTGAGTGCACTAGAACCAGAGGTGTCAGAGATTCTTCATTTTATTTTTTTTCTCCCTAGAATTTGCTACATCACTGTGACACCGCAGATTGCTGGAAGGGTTAGTTTCATTTTTCACAAGCTAAAAGATACCAGCAAGGTAAGCCGAGCTGTTTCATTACAGAAATTGGACAACATTTCTGTCATCCTCTGGATGAAACTCAGTGTCTTGCCCCCTTCACACAGCTGCGTTCTGCGTTTCATCTCTTTCCTGCTCTCACTCAGATCCACCATGAGTGCCCACGAGGCAGAGGTCCAGACTCTGGCCCCAGAGATGCCGGCCATGTTCGATGGGATGAAGTTGGCCGCCGTGGCCACAGTGCTCTATATCATCGTGCGCTGCCTGAACCTGAAGAGCCCCACCGCTCCGCCCGCCATCAACTACCAGGACACGCCGCTGAGTCGCTTCCTGCTCAAGTCCTGTCCCTTGCTCACCAAGGAGTAAGTACTGCCTGCGTGCTTCATTTCCAAATTAGCAGCACGGCGTTAGCTTGGAACTGTGGCGCTGTAGGGTTTTCTGGACACTTCCACTCCCCGGATTAGCGCCGTAATGCTTCTGGCCCTGAATGCTCGCGTTTTAATACTCGCTCCTTCACAGGATTAGCAGTGTAGCTCTCTTTAATAATCACGCTGGGTTTCTGGGCCCTTCCACCACACGCTTTAGCTCTGTGGGCAATGCTGTCCCCAGGCTTGGCAGCACAGTCCCTGCAATCCCCAGTGCAGATGGCTTGTCTCTCTTGAAGCTGTCTGTCGCCTTCCATGTGACTGCTAATGATTCTGTCTGGCTTTGCTCACCTGTGTTATATAACTGGAAGCTTTCTAGCAGGACCCCAGGTGGGGACTGCGGGTTTATTCCTTGGGGGGTTTTCTGCGTTGCTGAGCTAGCTGTGTGTTGCTAAGTGCTCTGCTCTAAAACGGCTGCTTCACGGTCACCTTCTCAGACCAGAATATCCCAGGTTGACAGGCTAGAAGTGAAAACCTAGAACAGTATCTATCATTTATAAACATCTGGCAGTAGATATGTCTAGTATGAGATTTTAGCCTTGTTCTGTATCTAACTGTGTTTCCCTACTCCACTGGTTCGGAGGTGCTACAAAATATACTGGTCTGTTGTAACCACTGGCAGACTACAGCTAGGGAAGGTTAGGGATCTGTGCCCATTAAGGTTGTGGATTTTGAACCCCGTGGTTGGCAGTAATCACATGACCATTGGACCCTCGAGAATGGCCCTGTTTAAAGAGCACTGGATGCTGGCAGACTCTAAAAATAATCAGCTCTTACCTGTATATATGTATGCTAGTGTCTCTCATTGAGATTAAGATGGGATACTTAAAAATTACCCATCATCCCCATAGGGATGATTAAACTACCTCTATTTTACCAGTGCTTTAGATGCCGAAGTCCCCTGCGGAACAGCACCGCTCCCATACACACCCTGTCTTGTGCGTAAAACATCTATCTTTAGTGTGCTGTTGGAATACTATTTCTCAGAAGCCTCTGGAATCCGGGTTCACCTGGGAACCTCTTAAGAACTTATTTAAAGAGCTGATTACATTGTTGTAATCTCTGTCACTAAACAGAATTAGAATCTCTGGTTGGTTCTTTCTGTGTTTTAAGGCTGATCCTTAATTTGTGCAATGAGTCATGTTCTGGATATAGTTGTCATTCTTATCTTAGTGCCCAGACTGGTGGCTTAATTCTGGGAGGGTAAAGTGTGTAACTACAGGGTTTAACAGTGCTCTAATCTCCAGATATCTAGAGTCCAAACCAAGATGAGTGACAATGTTTATTGTTATATATTTGAAATGGTTGACATTGAGCCTTAGAATAGGGTTGTTTGAGTGTGTTATCTGCTGGATTGCAGTTGTTCTAAGACGAGTTAGGAATCTTAGGAATCTTATTGGCTGCCTTGCTAGTACAGCTCAGGAACTGGTGGCTGAAGCTCGCTTCAGAATGAGAGGTAGTGCAGCCTCAGCTGATGTGCCTTAACACAAGGCACCGTGATGGTTGGGGACACACAGATACACAGATGGTTGACCCTTTGGTTTAGATGTATGGGTGTGAACGAGAAGAGCAGGGTTATTGTTACTGGAGCAAGACTCAAGGGCTGGATGGGAAAACAGGCAGGGCGTAGTGGCTGCAGTGGTTCAACATGTCTCCTCTGCTGGGCCCCTGACCTGCGGCATCCACCCCTCAGCAGTCTTCTCCTCCCTTCCCCTCCAAGTGAGAGCTTGTGGGAGCAGCAGGGGGGGGGCACAAGGCCTTGGTTCCACCTCACCACTCCACCACTCCATGCTGTCCTTCTCCCGTACTTGCACATTTTGTGCCATTTACGCTAAAGCGAGACTGTACTCCTACTCGATTAGCGTGATGAAGCTGTGATGGAACCACACGAAGCGGTTTTCCGTGGGCAGGCATGAGCCGCATAGCAAAAACGTTTATGCTGCCAGCCCACTAGCAAGGTCACCATCAAAGATTTCGAGCACCAGAACCAGGCTCAGGGTCATGCTTAGCCGCACTGTCCACATTAGAATGCCCCACCACGATCTCCCCTGAAAGGAAACGTATCCTCCAGTGTAGACAGGATCTTTTAGCCCGTTCCTGTACACAGCGTAAACTGTTTGGCCATTATGATCGCACCTGCTGTTTTAGTAGAACAACTGACCCGGAAATTTATGGTTACATCAAAGAAGCAAAACTGACACATAACAACTTTGAAGGGCTTTTTCATTTGATACGCCTGTCCGTGTGTCCTTCTAGAGCAGGGCTGGGCAGTCATATTACCAAGGGCCGTGTGTTTGCAGGGTTTTGGGATAACCTGTAGGTCAGCTGTTCAAACCCAGGTGTGAGGACTCTTCAGCCAATCAGTCCTCTAATTGGTAATGTAATTGGGGAAGTTGCGGCGAAAACCCACATACCCGACGGCCCTTTCTAGATAAGATTACACACCCCTGTTTCTAGAATATACTGTTTTTCCTGCTTCCCTCATCACTCAGATGATGTTACAGCACCTTTCTCAGGTCACTTTTTAAAAGGGCTTAATTGTCTGTATTGTTTGTTTATTATTGCCAATAATTTGCCTAAATGCCTCTGTTTTTATCATAGGTATGTCCCCCCCCTTCTCTGGGGTAAAAGTGGCCACTTACAGACAGCCCTGTATGGGAAGCTTGGTCGGGTCAGTTCTCCACATCCTCACGGTCACCGCAAGTTTCTGCCCATGCTGGATGGGGCCACTGCCACCTTCGACCTTTTCGAACCACTGGGGGATCACCAAACTGGATGTATGAAAAATGTTTTTCATTTAACTAGTACGATTTTATATACTCTATTATATTTAAGGTTGTTTAGCCCAGATTTTCTGGTAAAGTATGTGTCGGTCTAGCTGACTCACGTCTATTTTAAATCGATGCCTCTCTGGCATGAAAATGTTCCACCTTGTCATGTTTTCCACCTTGTCGCATCTGGCGTAAGTGACTCGGGAAATTCCGTTCTGTAATCCTAGACAACCTAATGTGTCTTTCCAGATGATGTCACCATGGTTATATGTCCTGGAATTGGAAACCACAGTGAGAAGCATTACATCCGCACCTTTGTGGATTACTCACAGAAGCAGGGCTATAGGTGTGCTGTCCTGAACCACCTGGGAGCCCTGCCTGACATCGAGCTCACCTCCCCTCGCATGTTCACGTACGGTGAGCATATCAGCCTGCCATATTTCATGTACTTCATTTAAATGTATCACCGTCAGCAGAACTGTTCCCGGTAGTTTGCTTGCCCGTAAGTGGCCCTTAGATACTGTTGACTGATTCCTTGTACTGACTCAGATGTGCTTGGCAGCTTTACTTTTTCATTCCTGTACCCCAATTTGGTACCAATTAAACAGTGTGCGTGCCTTCAATTTGTAAATACCTAATGCACATTAAATGGGGAGTAAGAATCTCACTCTCCTGGGCAATGTGTCAGGGCAATGTTTGTGTAGATGGATGTTAAAGTTGTTGGAAATTAAGTTACTCTTTTGGCATGGAGTAAAACATTTATATGTAGATAAGTGACTCACTGTAGAATTGGTTTGTACTAGTAGGAGTTTGACAGCTGACTGTCGTTTCAGGCTGTACGTGGGAGTTCTCAGCCATGGTGGGCTACATTAAAAAGGCCTACCCCCACACCCGACTTATAGTGGTGGGCTTCAGCCTGGGGGGCAACATTGTGTGCAAGTTCCTGGGGGAAAACCCAAGCAACCAGGAGAGGGTGCTGTGCTGCGTCAGCGTGTGCCAGGGCTATAGCGCCCTCAGGTGAGCCGCCCGGCGCTGGCAGGGGAGCCTGGAATCGGACTTATGTGTGTTGGGTGCCTCCTGGACCGAAGGGTCAGGTGGCCATTTTTCTTCACCTGTAGCATTCGATTACAACGTCATCGTAGATTTTTGTACGAGATTCGTTTTGTCCGCTTTTCCATCCGAAGCGAAATTCTCTAAAGAGCCTCTTGTGGCCACGGAAGAGAATGCAGGCTGTCACCTCAGCTGCTGAGTGTTCCGTCTCTTTGTGTGGCTCAGGGCCCAGGAGACCTTCCTCCAGTGGGACCACTTCAGGAGGTTCTACAACTTCCTTATGGCAGATAACATGAAGAAGATCATCCTGTCGCACAGGTAGCGTCCCAGCCGCCACGGGCCTGTATCTGTGTGGTGCTGTTCATTTAAAATGCAGAAGAGATGTACTGTGATCCTCAGTTAAACGTGAATAAATGTCCATCTCCCATGCGTCTTCCAGGAAGAGCTTATTTGGCGGGAACTCCAAGATGGTGGACCTCAGTCGGCTGTTTACGGCCACCTCCCTGATGCAGATCGACGACAACATCATGAGGTAACGCCTCCTAGCATCCCTCTGCATGTGGCATCTTATGATTTCTTCTAGCTTGACAAAAACTGCTTTTTATGGCACTTCTAACGTTTCCTTTTCATTTCGTTTTCCTAGAAAGTTCCACGGGCATAGCTCACTGAAGGAGTATTACGAGAAGGAGAGCTGCGTGCATTACGTCCATAATGTAAGTCGGCCTTTTTCTCGTTCTCTGACCGTATGCTGCACTTGAAGCCTCATTCTCTGGCAGTCATTTACACAGGATTGTAAATAGAACGAATATTCGATACGAGTAACGAGTACCTACTTCAGTATCTGCTTGAAATGATCGGTTTGATCTGTCAGATGTCAGTTGTTGAACACTTATTTTAGAAACCAGAAATGCAGTGGTATGATGGTAACCAGGCATTTGGCCTGCCCTGTTTCAGGTCAATGTTCCCCTCCTGCTAGTAAATTCTGAAGATGACCCCCTGGTTCATCAATCACTGTTGACCATCCCGCACACACTCTCAGGTAATGTGGTGTCATTGGCGGATCTTGAAGACCCAGGCCCACCCAGATTGACAGCTGGGCCCACCCTTTCAGATTAATGGAAATAAATATTTTTTATAATACATTTTATTAAAATTTTCACTATTGAATGTGAATTGTTTTATCTTGGGAATTATTAGAATTATGTATTAATTAATACATTATAATTATTGTTATATGTGTAATGTATTACAAACTGAACCTTATTAAGGTTAAGTTTTTTTAATATTGCACCATGGTCAGTATAACTGAATGTCTGAGCTCCCTCTAGTGGTGCTCTTTAGGTAGGACACCGCAGTCATGGCTGTATTGTTGTTGCGGTCACCATATTGTAAATATCTAAGCCTATTTAAGAAAACGTGCGGCGATGAGCTTCTCACAAGCCCACCCAGATTTAATCCCGGCCCAACCATCAGCCACTTTCTGTATCTGCCGCCGTGTGGCATCATGTTGAGGACCTTTCGCTGTTGATGCCAGGTGGTTCTGGTTGCTGAGACAGCAGCTGTCATGGCTGTGTACTGAAGCATCACTGAATCGCGCCATACTGCCTCGCTCACATCCCCACTGGCCACAGAGCCCTGTTTACGGTCTTGTCTCAGTCACTGAATCTCAGATTTCAGGGCTGAAGGAAATATTTTTTTTACTTTTTTAATTATGCTTCAAACTCTCTTTCCCAGTCGAGACTGAGACCCACCATGTTCTGGAGGAACTGGTGCTGTACAGTGTGATACTGGAAATGTGGCTTTCTGAAGCTGGCCTCCACCATATATGCAACCGCAACAAACTCGGACGTGACTCATTCTAAAAACAGAGGATAGAATCATTAGTAGCAAGACTTCTGCCTGTTTTCCCCATGTTGACTCTTGTGACACTTTCCACCCTCACAGATAAGAAGTCCAACGTGATGTTTGTCCTGACACTGCACGGGGGCCACCTGGGCTTCTTTGAGGGGGCCGTACTCTTTCCGCAGCCCCTCACCTGGATGGATAAGGTCATCGTGAGCTACGCCAACGCAATCTGCCAATGGGAGCGAAACAAAACGCCATGCCAGAGCAGGGACAGCTGCCCGGAGGAGACTGAGGAGAAGGTTTAACACGCAGTCCTCCTCACTCCTCCACACTGCTCCTGTGTCCTACTCACACCATGGACTTCTCTCAAGATAAAGCCAATCCACTTCACTGATTACCAGGAGTGGCTCCTCTCTTCTGGGACCCTTGCACTTACTCTCAACTGCTAGTGTTCCCTGAGTAATCTGGAGAAGGATACCTATGGTGTGTCCATCTGAAATCGTGGTAAACAGAATGAAGGAAGTGTCTGGCTTTGTCTTTTTCACTGTTATACCTCCAGGTTTTTGCCCCCGCCCCCTTTTCCCAAAGAAAGTCGAGCAATGTTGGGATTTCAGGGTTAGGACTCTGGTCCCCTGAGACTTGCACCTACTGAGCCCCCCGTCCTCTTACCTTCTCTACAAGGCCGAAGATATGCGGTACACCATGGACGTACACTCTGGGTAAAATGCTCCTCCATTGTAAACGTTGACGTAAACATTGACGTAAATGTTAAATGAATGAAGCAGTGTTGACTAGCACGCGAGAATATATTCAGGTGATGTTTCGACTTCCTGCTTGTTCCAGCGTGTTGAGATGCATATACTTCTTCCACAGTTCGGTCCAGGCCTCAGCTGCCTTCTCTGAACGGTTATCTCTTCTCTTGATGGGCCTTATCTCAGGAGTGCTCACTGAAATGGTGGTGAGAAGTAACTGTGGAAGATCACGTCCGGACCACCAGTAAGAAACGCGGCTCTCTTAGAGGCCCAATACTCCTCCATTTCCTCAAAGCAACCATGTCTTCACTTGAGGCCAAATGACAGCTTACCTGTATAATTCCTCGGCACTTTACACCGTCAGTCCTCGTCTCCTCGTGAAGTGGGCATTTCTGCTTTGGAAGCCATTCTCTAGCTGAGCAAGGCTCGATCCATGACCAAAAGAAGAGCCTCAGAACTTTAGCCCTGAGTTTCTGCAAGCCCCTGGTCTGCCCTGCATGGTGACGAGCTCCTGGTATACTCAGATGTATGATCTGTACTGTACTTTTGGAAGCCCTGAGTGCCTGTATATCCCTGTTTGAGCTCTAAGTGAGTGCAGACCTCTGGTCCATGCTGCATTGTGAAGATCTCAGTGTCTTTAGATGAAAAAGTAATGCTGATATGCCGTGTGACCCCTGCCTGGTAGTGTTTATATATTAGTGTTCAGTAAGTGATGTTTCGAAGCCCAGCCTGGCTGTGTGACCATGTGTCTCAAATGGAGTACAATGAGAATGAGGAGCACTGGATGACCTAAAGGGGCTTCCCAGAATTCCCCTCTGTTTGGTTACCATTTCTAGCTTTAGCTTGTCATTCCCATCATCCATTGTGTACATGTTCACTTTCTCAATGCGGTGTGTTCCAAACCTCGGCATTCCACGCTCCAGTCTGTGCCAGTGCGGTACTCAAGCCAAAGTCCATGGCGTGTTCTCGGCTCTCGGCTGAATCACGGGAGGGCGTCTTTCTGTGCTGCGGGTTGTTTTTTTTTTAGGCAGTGGGTTCCATCTTCTCTTGGAGAAGATCCACAGCCAGACAGCTACATCATTAGAAGGAATTCCTGGGAAACCAGAGCATGGTGCTCTTTCTTTTTTATCCCCACCATTTCTTAGTTTCCAGTTGTGGGGTAAACGTAAATCCCCCTGCTATATACTCCCAGTGTAGACCAGATAAACTTTCTGTGATGTTACTACATCAGTTCTCTTTCAGTCCTGCCCACCTGTATGTGATTGAGCTTTTACAGGGTTCAATGAATCGTTGTGGCCTGTGTCAACTTTAACTTGGTTTACCATCATGAGTTTGCCCTGTAACTGGAGATGGTAAGATTTCCTGCTCAGCCAATGATGTTAGTAAAACTTAGTGTGAATCTTATTACATATGACAGTTTAGAATTATTTTGAATCCTTGGTGAGTTGTGAGGGAAATCAGGCTTTTCTAGCTGTTACACCCTTTTTCTGGGCATCTTCCTAAGCAGCAACTGAACGACAGCCCTATGTACCTTTAGTAATGGCTCCCTCTGCTGGTTAGGAGACTCGTGTTCCATAATGTCACAGATATGGAGAATTCCCTCTGCTGCTTATACAGGTGTAGAAAGCTCCCCCTGCTGGCCAGCCTCACTCACAGAAGTACAGAGAGGGAGCAAAAGCGTCACCTACATGAGAGTGGAACAGCCCTTCATCAACAAAGACTACCTGCATAAGCTGACGGAAGACCAGGACTCAGCATTGCACAATCTCCACTAGCCTATTATAGGCTTTAACACCAAAGTGTCATCTTATAGCATTGAAATGCCAATAGTCATTGTACTGCAAGTAGAAAAGTCCAATCTGCTAACCAAAAGGCTGACAGATGGAATTGGACCACTGCTGCAGAAAGAGCTGGAAAAAAAAACTTTTTGAGATGCAGTGAGATCGGCCTGCTTCACCAGGCCCTGCTCAGATACTTATTGCTTTTCTAGACTTTCCACATTGTTGCAGGTTCTGAATGGTTCTCTGCATTAGACAAGGCCAAATGTAATTAAACAAAGTAATTGGTATAATTATTATTTTGTATCTTTTTTGTTAAGGTTTTTAAATTGATTTATTGAATGTATGTAGAGTCAGTGTGAGTATGACTGTACATGCACTTGTCTGGTGTTTGTTTTGGACCTTCGGTTAATCCTCAGTGAATGGTAACGAGGGGCCAAACACAAGACAAAGAACAAAGGGCAGTGGTCCATATATGGGGGGGGGGTCGCAGGGGGGTGGGAAGGTGTCACTGTGAAGCCTCCAGAACATATCAGATGTGTAATAGATGACTAAGAATGAGTGACAGTTAGTTATGACTTAAAGCTGTTTAAATCCTTGTTGTTGTTGTTGTTACTATTATTATTGTTATTATAATTATTCATTTTTAGTGGGGGTGGAAGGCCCTTTACATCGTGTGTAATTTCATCACACTGTTGTCCATTAGGGTTAGCCGATTGACTCGATGTGATTGTGACACATTACAAATCATCAGTGTCACTGGTAACAAAGAAAAAAAAATGGCCAGGTTTTTAAAGGGAAAGAACTGGGCTGTCAGCCTCTGGGAATTTCCGCCCTCTGTCTTTTTGCTTTCAGTATCCTGTCCGACTTGACTTGCTTTGATGAAGAACCCACCGGTGTGTAAGTACAGAAGGCTTCACTCGCTCACTTGTAAAAATGTAACTTGACGTTCTGTTGTAGGTGCATTGCAGCTCACTTGTGTATTTTTGTTGAACAGAATGTTTTGGTGTGTGTTGTGAGTATTAAAAGTACAGTTCTGTTGAAGAATAAATTATTTTTTTGTAAACAGTTCTGTCCTACTTGTCCTGTGATTTATGGTCATAATCTTTGTCTTGTTTCTTGTTCCTGTTACTTTTGCCAGTGCACAGTAACTGTGTGTCACTTGGATCAAATTACCGGTATGACCTTTCTCTCCTCACTTGCCCCATCTTGTCCAATAGCTTTTATTGTTAATATAATGAAACAAATACACCACAATGTACTTACTTTGGGGAGCATTATTTGTTAGTTTTAATGTATCAGTGACATTACCTGCATTGCACACTACATTGGTACCACATATAAAATCAGTACGCAAATAGAATTAGGTGAGAGTTTATGTAATGCCCACACTTAATGGAAAGGAGTGACCCTCCCTGTCCTGCTAACCCATGTACATCCAGCCTGGCCAAGCACATTAAAAAGTCTGAAGTCTCAGTCCAATCAGTGGTATTCCGTCTTATATATAGGTTTATAGAACCAAGGTGTCATCAAACGCAGCACAGACATACCACCTAGTATGGTCATATTAACATATTAGCATGGCCTCATGATCAGAGTCACTGTTTACGGCTTAACCAGGCTTTAGGAGCTGGATTTGTTTTCAGGATTACATTGTTCTGAGCTGAAGGTCCTCACCTTCAGGGTATATATATGTATAACTGTTGTGCACAATTAAGATGTTGGCTCTGTGGGCTAAACTTCTGTGCCTGTGATTAGAAGGTTGCTGGTCCAAGCCTGAATCTTGACCAAGGTCCTTAACCCCCAACTCTGTAGATGCTGCAATGGGTTAAGGCTGAGCCTGGTGTGATTATGGAGATTATGAGTCACCATATTTCATGAGAATATCCAAGCTCACCCTTCCTTGTGGTTTCTGCCAGCTGTACACAGGGAAGTGGTGATGGGTGGGGTTGGCAAGATGAAGGAACTGGCCTGGACTCACTCTCTCTCTCTCTGCTTTTTGTTTTTTAACACGGGTTCTTCTATTCTTTAAAATATCCTCTATGAAAATAAGCTTATAGGTATATTCTTTGACTATCCAGTATATGCAATGTGGGACCAAGGTCAGGAGTCAAGAGTTAAAGGGCAGTGTCCTCAGAATCGAAGAGCAGCCTTGCTGTGGCCTTGCCATCGTAGCTGGGCGCCTGCCCGTCAAACTCAGCAGGAAGGATCTCAACATCAAACTCCTTGAAGTAGTCTTCCAGATCATCCCCATGAACATGGACCTTGAAACATGAGGGGTGGAGTCAGGAAAACTGTACTGGTCAAAGCCGCCCAAAGCCTCACCCCAACCACATGGTCTTCTCTCTGCTTACCCTATCCAGCAGCTTGCTCTTCATGAAAGGCTTTGCTCCGTTGTAGGTGGTGGTGAAGTACCAGGGCTGATGGATGAAATGAACAGTCTTGAAACGGGCAGGGAACGAGTCCTGTTCACACCACAGAAAGAGAGGTAGTCGGTCATCTTGGAAAACGCCAACAAACTCCCTCTGTGAACAGCTACGAGGGGCTTTACAGTCACCTGCAACATGTCCACCATCTTCCTGAGGTCTGTGGGCTTGATGCCTGCGGCCTGTTGCATGGTGAAGCCCTTGAAGTTCTCAATCATGCAGAAGCCGTTGATCTGGGTTTCCTCATTCTCCAGCAGCTTCTCCAGGATGACACAATAGGCACGCAAGATCTGGGCATGTGCAGTCGACCAGGTGAGTCAACTTGATGAATCACCTTTTATTAATATTATTAACACTCAGCAGAGATAGTTTCTTTATTAATTATGATTCTGCTCATTTAAAAGCTGAATATAGAAATAAGGTCACGCTGGTTTTTTGCCATAATAATAGTTATTTCTAATTTAAATTAAATATCATTTTAAATAAGTTCGATCTCCACACAGATTGAATTAATCAAATTAAAATAATTAATTAGAGACTAGTCAGAGTAGGGGAAAACTCTTTTTTAAATCTCATCATCAGCTTGTTTCCGTAAGGACTACATAAGCAATTTTGGACCATGGATGGATGGATTATGGATAGATGGATCATAGACACCAGCAATGGCTGTTACAACCTTTTCACTGAATCTATTCAGTGTACTTAGATTAAAACATATCAAAGTAGTCCAATATAAACAGCAATAAATGACACACTGTCAGTGACATAATCAGAAGTACTAAGACCAAATACAGACACACTCACAGTGCCCTTAAAGGCACAGTTACCTCATCAAAGGTGATCTCCTCATAGTCCCAGTTCTCGATGTTGAACAGCAGCACCACTCGGCCGTGCTTGTCCCTGCTGGGCAGGATGCTGGGATAACCGGCCTCGATGGTAGTACGCACAGCCTCAGGGGTCAGGTTCTCAAAGAGCTCAGGGTACTGCTGTCTGAAACGCACATAGCCTGCAAGGACAGGGACAGGGGGCACATCCACGACTGACAACGGCTGCTCTTACACCGCACCCTGTACGGAGCCAGATATGCATGGCTGCCTCTTTTGGGGCCAAGGGAACTGGTGTAAATGAACTTTCTAATACTGCCTGCACACTCTGAGGTTAATTCAAATGTGTTAATTTCTCCCTCCGTTCCATGACACTTTTTCCATGTACAACTGAACAGCAAACTCACTCAGTCCACAGGATACATTTTCTAAAAAATAATGAAGGTAAAATACTAAAAATGCCCTTCCTCATCCTCCTCTGTGTTGCTCCCAGACCGAATGTAAAGCTCATCAGCTGTTTTCTTCAGTTGTAACTGCACTAAGGCCCAGTCCATTAGCTTCCCAGAGCATTTCTCACGGTAGGGAAACACAGCGATGCCATTGTCTTAGCTTTCGGCCCCAATTAGCCCCAGAGAGAGCGCCCTCAGATACACCCCACCTTATGTTTGGCCTGGATCCACCATGCATGCTCCAAGTCTCGGCACTTCCAGGCCGTGACCCAAACACTCCGGTGCTCACTGCCCATCCTGTGTGAGAATCCCACGCCTCCCCACTCTCTCCCCCACTCTGCTGAAGCAGCTCGATCTTTTGCATACAAAGGATCCTTTTGTCATAACTCCTATAAAGCCTTAGACTCTGTTGGACAACCCAATTAACAGACTAGAGGAGACAGATGAGAGGCAGATGAGAGGCAGACGGGACGCGACATAACGCGGCCTGTCAAATGAGTTGTTAGGGGTGGGACAGGAGCCCATTTTCAGAGCACAATCAGTACCATTCACTTAGAGTCACCACACTCCCCCTAGCCCCCCTCCCTTACCTTTCATGAGCTCGTAGGCACGGCCCACATCGTACTTCCGTGCCCGAACGAATCTCAGCAACACTGTGTCAGACTGCTCGCCGAATCGGCTCTGCACGCCCCACGCCACCTCATCCTCGTCGGCCCTCTCCCCGATGGTAGCACGCAGCTCCTTTACAGCCAGTGCTCGCTTCTCATCCGTCTCGTTTAACTCATCCTTTGCCTTGCAAGGGCACAGAAGGAAGTTAGTGAGTGAAGGCTAATGGGTTAGCCGCTAACGGGTGGTGGCTAATAATTGGTGGCTAACAAGAGATAGCTAATGATCAGTGGCTAACAGGTGGCTGCTGTGGGGAGACAGCTAATAGGTGGTGGCTAACAGGTGGTGGCTAACAGGTAGTGGTAAATGGGTGGTGGCTAATAATTGGTGGCTAACAAGAGATAGCTAATGGTCAGTGGCTAACAGGTGACTGCTATGGGGAGACAGCTAATAGGTGGTGGCTGACGAAAGACAGATAGCAAGTGGCAGCTTATGGATGGTGGCTAATGAGAAACAGCTAGTAGGTGGCAGCTACAGTTAACAGATGGCATTAACGAGAGATAGACACTGGTTGGCAGCTAATAGGTGGGGCTAATGCAAAGCCTGGCCAGGCAAGGATTCCTACCTTCTGCACTGTGTGATCTGGTAACTTCTTGCAGGGCCCAAACACCGGTCCGTGGTCCTTGACTGTGAGGTGCTCTAGCTTGGCTCTCAGAGTCTGCTCCTCCTCCGATACCAGCCGGAAAGTCCCACTCTGGGTGCAGACAGACAGATGGACAGATAGAACAGTTTAACAATGCAAATATGTCAGCATTAAGACAAACAAATTGTGAATCCACACATAATAGGTAGCATTGAGAGCCCAGTAATTCTGCTTGACATTAACGTATTATAAAATTAAGGGGAGCCACAGTTAAACTGAGAATTGTGCTTGCTTACCACAGCAGTCATCTTCTGAGACCCCGAGGAACTTCACACACACTGGAGACCGACAGCGGATCTGGGTCCTTCCCTCTGAAGAATCGACTTGTCTGTCAATAGCATGTCCTGTTACTATTACACATTAAAGCAAGAGAGAGAGAGAGAAAGAGAAACAGAGGAAACAGAAACAGGCCTGGAAACATGAGGGCCATTTCCATCATCAGTGAGAACGTCCTGCAGCTCAACATCAGCAAGACAAAGGAGATGGTGGTGGACTTCTAACATGACAAAGAGCCCCTCAAACCAGTAACCATCCAGGGGGAGGAAGAGAAGGTGGTGCAGACCTACAAAGCCCTGGGGCTCCACCTGGGCTGGGCAGACAGCACAGCGGCGCTTTATAAGAAAGGCCAGAGCAGACTCTGCTTTCTGAGGAGGCTCTGCGGTTTTTGATATGTGTAGTGGGATGCTGAGGATGTTTCACTGGGTCATACAGGGAACTCGAGGCGGTTACGGAGAAGAGGATGGTGTCAAAGTTGAAAAACATCATGAACAATTCTGCCCATCCACTCCAGGGGGCGCTGTCTTGGAGCATCTTTAGCCACTGGTTCAGTCCACTAGTCACGTTACTGAGGATCCTTCCTACCTGCTGACATCAGGCACCACAGCCCCTCTGACACCTGGCGCTGCACGGTGAGCCCTGATTGCTGGCTCTATAAAGTGAGCCCTGAGCCCCTGATTGCTGGCACTACACGGTGAGCCCTGATTGCTGACGCTACACGGTGAGCCCTGATTGCTGACGCTACAC